ACTGAGAAGATCCCAGCTCTGTGTCACAGACAAATCAACCAGAGGGAGAAGGGCATATGTGAAGTTGTGCAGAGGATAAAGAGCTGCATTCCTGGTTTCTGGCTGGGGATTTGCTCCCTGCCACTGCAGTGTCATCTGGTCATCACCCTGAGCTTCTGCATCCCTTCTGGCTTAGGAAAGGTTTCAGGCTGTCACTGCAATGCCCTGAGCCTGGCACAGGTCCTGGGACAGCGTGGGGAGTGGGCACGCTACATTTCCTTGAGCCCATCTCCATGGTATCTGGACTGCAGCAGTTGGAGGGCCGTGGCCTCTTTTCCTTCTGCCTCTGCTCACGTGCACATAGGAGAAGGCAGCTGGCACTGTGCTGGCCTCAGGTGATGCTGTGCAGGAAGCTCAGCTCCCCAGTGGGCTGTTTGCAGGGGGCTCTGCTTTGCCCACCTAGAGGGGCAGGGTGGCCCCTCTTTGGTGGCTAATCGCAGGAAATAAAGGGTTTTTTCTGACTGCTCAATGCTGAGCACAGTCCCCCAGCCCTACTCAGCCCCCAGCAGTGGCTGTTTAGGGCTACCCACTTGCAGGAGCAGCAGCACAGTGAGGATGTGCACAGCTTCAAGCCCTGCTCCCCTGCGAACAAAGGCAGCTCTGAGCCTCCCCTGTTTCTTGGCATGCTATAACAGAGCCCTTCTCTCTGGCAGCAAAAGCCCTTTCCAATCCCCAGCATGCTGCAGCCCCTTTCCCTATCTCTCTGCTTCCCCTGCCAGGGAGGCTGCAGCCCAGCCCAGCACGTGCTTGTCCCCATCCCTGTGATATGGGGATCCAGGGGACCTGGCCACAGAGCCTTGGGAGCCAAGCACGCCTGGCTGCAGCCTGCAGCAAGCAGCAGCACAGGGGGGAGCACTCCTGCCACCAGTAATTACCGGCGATGCTGCTGCTGCCACATGATTTGGGGACGTCAGCAGAGTGTGTCACTGCTGATGACACGCTGCATGTGTAGGGTCTGGGGAGGATGCCAGGGCGAAATGTTGGAGTGCTGGGACTCAGAGTTGAGCCAGCCACACTGCCCCGACCTTCAGTGAGTCACTTGTCCCCCACGGTGTCACACAGGTGACCCAGCCCTTCCCTCCTGCACCAAAGCCCCGTGCCTCAGTTTCCCTGCAGTGCAGAGGAGGCTGCCGTGGGGCTGCGCTTCTCCCAAAGTGTGATGCTTTTTGGGGATGTGCTAGGGGGAGGCCAGGACTCAGTGTCGTTACTCACGGCGATGACAGTGCCGATGACAAGTCCCCAGCCTCCAGGAGCACGTGCTGTGCCCAAATTCCCTGTGTGGGGCTGCGTTCCCAGTGCCAAGAGGCCCAGTGAGTAATGGGGTGGGCGGCGGTGCTGGGGCTGTGTGGGAGAGGGATCTGTGCTGTTGCCAGGAGGGGACAGCGATGGGTGCCTGCTACCCCTCACTTGAGGAATGCCTGGAGGGGCTGATGTGGGTCAGGGTCTGCCGTCCCACCTGGGCTGCATCTGCCCCAGCATCTGCCCTGTGATGATGGCTATGGGTTTTTCCCCATATAGTGATGCAATGTGGACCCTGAGCCTTTCTCAGTGCGGGCACCCTTTCCCATGGTGCTGCAGAGAGCCGTGTTTGGGCTGGATGAGATAAGGATGGGGTATCGCATTACTGGAGCCAGATCCTTCTTTGAGGTTAATCAGACAAGGCAGGCAATTGCTGCCGCTTGATACAGGCAGTGTTGTGTGAGTGAGTCTATTAGTGGGCTGATTACTCATCAGCTACGTTGGAGACCTGCTAACGGGAGGAAAAAGTTGTTAACGTGACTCAGCTGACCCCACTCTGCAGAAGTTAGTGTGTCTTTTCTGAAATACCACAGGTGGATTGCTCCACGACTTGGCCACGCAGCCAGGGAGGCATGGCAGGATGCTGCTCCTTGCTTGCCAGCTGGAGTCACACGCTGGTGATGAGCCACCGGGGCCAGGAACCCAGCACTGAGCTGCCTGCCTGCCTGCTCCATCACAGGGCTGTGCATTTCTCCCTGTGCTGACAGTGATGCTGCAGGCTGGCTCAGCATTTCAGCTCCAGCGTGCCTCTGCCCCAAAGCTGTCCCTCTCTTTGGGGTATGCTCTGTTCTCCTGGTCCCCTCCCAGGGTGGGGAGGAGGTGACAGCTGGGTGATGTGGGATGCTGTGAGACACCGAGTCCCACTTTCCAAATGTGGGCCGTTGCCTCCCGGGAGATCAGATGTTGTGAGACTCGTGACTCCATCATGCAAATGTCGGGGGCTGTGAATAATCCCATACGTGTGCTTGGCGGGGGCTGCAGCAGCCCAGGTCCGTGCAGGTTGTTGTGCTCCTCGAGGGATGCTGTGCTGCAGGTCAGCCTCTCTGTGACCCGTCAGGTTAATTGAGACAAGCAAGCTGGCTGTCTGCTGCAGCCCATGCCCTCACTGTGCCATAGCACCAGAGCCTTATTTCATTCTTTTTATTGCCCCGTGGGAGAGGCTGAACCAGAGCCTCGCTGCTCCCAGGGTTGCCCATCTCCGTTTCCAGCCCCATCTTGTAGCTCATTCTCTTTTTTTTTTTTGTGCCCATTCTCAAACCTTTCTCCTTCTCCAGTGATCCCAAGCCCAAGGGATCTTGCCCAAGGTGATATGGAGAAAGCTGCATCCCAGTGCCTCTTGGCACGTGCATTGTCATTGCATATGCTTGCAACGTCAGTACCTCTCAGAAAAGAAAGCAAATAAAACACAATGACATTGTTATCCCTCTTGTAGGGCCAACTGGTAAACGTATCACTGGGCAGTTGTTGAGTGACTCAGCCCTGCATGATCCACTTTGCTCTCCATTTCTGCTTGTGGGGCAAAGGGCTGTGATACCAAGTTCTGCTCCGCGATGACGTTTCCTCCCCCCCCCTGTTTTCATGACCTTTTGAGCTGGGGAATGGTGGCCATGCCCAGGCTAGTTGCATGGAGGAGCTTTCCTTTGAGATGGGAAGGTGCTGACTCTATTGGGGTGGCACCAGTTGTGCACTAGAGGATGGGTCCCTCCCCAGATGCAGGGTTGTGGCTGAGGGTCCGGCTGCTCCTTGCCTGCTGTCAGCTCTGCCACAGCCAACTGATGGGAAAGTACATGGAGTGCCCAGCTCATGTAAACAAACCTGGCTATAAATAGAGAGGGAGAGAAGTGTGAAAACAGTGGGGAATGGATTTTATAAAACTAGCAAATTAGTCTGGAAAAACAAGGGTGTGAACCAGCAGCCCGAGCTCCAACCCAAGTCATATTCCCAGCTCTGTGATGGATGGCAGGGCTGTGGGGCTGGGTTGTCCCCATCGATCACAGGCTCTGGGTGCATCCTGCCTTGGGCTGTTGTGTATGTATAATCAATGCCCTTCGTTATGTTTATTTTCCTTTGAATTTATGGAGACGCCCCAGCTGCAGCCATCCAGAAGACCTGGATCATAATGTTGACCAAAATAGATGGTGGCACTGCAGATGGGTGGGTTGAGCAGAAGGGGTGGGGGAGCAGCAGCTCCACCAGCCTCTCCAGACCCTTTCCTGTCGGCGTGGGCATCATGGCTGTGCCAGCCTGTCCCTCCCAGGCTGCCTGTCACCTCCTGGGAAGTGCAGTGGCCCGTTTCTCTCCTCGGGAGCCGGCCAGGCTGCTTGCCCATCTGGCATCAGCAGAGGTCTGCGCAGGGAGGAGAGGTGGGCAGGGAGGAGAGCAAAGGCAGAGTGCGGAGGAATGGCACTGAGTTGTGTCTGGATGCCACGGAGTGGGCACAGAGCTGTTGTAGGGTGCTGAGAGGTGACACGGGCAGCACAGGATGGCAGGAGGATGTGACAGTGAGCAGGTGGCAAAGCTGATGCCAGTGGTGGCATTGGCACCGAGCTGGTGACACTTGTGGGATGGTGCATGCATGTGGTACCACGCTGTGGTGTCAAGTCTGTGACATAGGTGAGAGGGGCATGGCAGAGGGGGCAGGTGGCTCCACTGATGGGGACGCTGATCCCATGCAGGGTTGGGCACAGACGGCAGCAGGGCCATAATTGAACCCCCATGCAGGGGGTCAGGGACAGATGGTACCGCTGGCGGTGGTCAGGGTGGCACTGAGATGTGTCTGGAAGGTGGCACATCTGGGGACAGGGTGACATTGCGTGGGGACAGGCAGCACAGCTGGGGACAGAGATGTGATGCTGCTCGAGGGCAGGTGCTGCATTAGGGGACAAGAAAGTGGCACTGCTCACAGGCAGGTGGTACATCTGGGGACAGAGAAGTGACATTGGTAGAGGGCAGGTGGTGAGCTCGGGGTCAGAGAGGCGGCACCACACGCCAACCGGTGGCACAGGGGGACGGAGGAGGTGACACATCTGGGAACAGAGTGGCGATACTGCTCGAGAGCAGCTGGCACATCTGGGGACGGAGAGGTGACATTGCCCGGGGACAGGTGGCACCGTTTGGGGACGGGGCGATGGCACACCTGGGGACGGAAAGGTGGCACCGCGCGGGAGGCGGGCGGCACATCGCGGAGGCGGCACGGCCCGGGGACAGGCGGCTCCCGGGCCCCGCGGGGGTGACCGCGCGCGGAGGTGACCCCGGGCCGGGCCGTGCCGGCGCACCCGGCAGTGCGCATGATACTGCGGCGCGGGGCCCCGTGCGCGCCAACCCACCTTGAAACGGGCCCGGGCCGCACCGTCAGCCAATCACCGCCCACTCCGCCGGGGCGCGGCCAATGAGCGAAGGGCGGGGGCGGCACCGAGCCGCTAAAGGGCGCAGGCTAGGCTGCGCGCCGCGCCGAGCGGCGGAGGCAGGTGCAGCGCGACGGCGGCGGTGGCGGCGAGATGGGCGCAACGGCGGCGGCCGGCGGTCGGCCCTGAGCCGCTCCTCCGGCCCGGCCAGCCCCGCGGCGGCCCGGGGAACCCTGCCCCGGCCCGGCCAGCCCCGCCCCGCCCCGGCCGGGCCGCCCGGCGGGCGGACGATGCTGCGCACCGGGGGCCGGTAGTACTATGATTTGGTATGTGGCCGCTTTGGTAGCAAGTGTGCTCGGCGCCCGCGGGCTGAGCGTGCAAGGTGAGCGGGGCCGGGGGGGCTGCGTGTGTGCGCGGTGGGGTTTGCACCGGGAGGTTGCCCCGGGGTTGGCTGGTTGGTTGCACTGAGGGTTGATGCGGGGCTTCGCGCCGAGGTTCCGCACCTCGGGGCGCGGGGAGGACGGTGCGCGCCCCCGGGGCGCTGTGCGCGCGGCTTTGCTGCGGCTCCGGCTGGGTTTTGCATCTCCTCCGGTGTCTGTGCATGGACGAGGGCAGCGTGCCGGGCTGCGGGGAGGGCTTCACTGCTTTATTTTTTGTTAGTATTATTATTTTGGGTCTTCTTAATAAAAATCATTGGTAGGGAGGGCGCTGCGAGCGGAGCGTTTTTGTGGTGACCTCCCGGAGAGCAGCGGCTGCACGTCGGGACGCTGCGATCCCCCCGCGCTGCGGTGCCGCAAATTGGTGCGGGTGTGCGGCTGCGGCTCCGCTCCCAGCTTTGAAATTCTCCTCGGGAGAAGTTAATGGGGACGAGCCCTTGCTAGGGATGTGTCCCGTAGGGTTTTTTTGCGCCCCTTTTTTTTCTTGCAACTCAGGGAATGCGGAGTGCCTTTCCCTGCAGGGCTGTAGCCTCGGGGGAAGGTGGGGAGGGGGGGGGAGGTGGGTAAGGAGAAATGCGGAGGGGTTTGGTGCTTTCTCTGCACTGTGAAGTCGGTGCTCCCATCTGCAGGCTTTGTGGGGCGGTTTGCTCCCCACAACCCCGGTGGTTCCTTCTCCTTCCCTGGGTGGCTGCTGCGCGCGGGTAAACTGAGGCACAGGGTTGTCCAAGGTCAGGCAGGAGACAGCAGCAGGGACTCACCCTGCTTTTCCTGCTCTGCCTTCAGCCGCCAGCCCTGCAGGGAGCAGGTGAGCCGCGAGCTGTCTGCTGATGCAGCAGCAGCTCCCGGATGGTTGGGGGATGGGGGGTGGTCCTGGGTGCCCCAGAGCCCAATTATGGGGACATGGGGGCTCCCCGAGCTTACGGTGGCACCGCTATGGGGCTGGCATCTCTGCAGCTAGTGTGAGGGGGGAGGGTCAGGAGGGGTCTGTCCCTAATGGGCTGAGGCTACCCTAATGGGGAGGGGGTGGCGGGGCTGGCACGGGCGAGTGGGCTGCAGGGGTTGGCTGCTGTGCGTACGGCGAGGCGCCGACGTGATGAATGAGCGCGCTGTGAGTAATGTGTGGGTGGGCACAGCGGGCGGGGGGCGTGCAGCCCCCGCGGGGATGCAGCAGCGTGGGGATGGGGACGAGAGGGGCTTTGTTAGGGGATGATTGCAGTGTTCCCTGCCCGAAGCAGTGCTGGGGGTGCAGCAGCCGATGGGCAAGGAGCAGGGAGTCCCGTGGGTGGGTGGCTGTCACCCTGCATCACTCGGCGGTGGATGGCGAGTGATGTTGGCGATGTGGCTGCGGGGAGGGAGCCGTCAGCGTGTGGTTGGTGGCAGTGCTACATGGATTCGCCGGTGTCCTGCCGGCCCTGGGCTCTTCTGCAGGGTCTGTCCATCCTGAGCTGCTGCACACAGTGCTGTGCTAACCAGGCTGGAGATGCTCATGGGCTGAGATCTCATCCTGCACCAGATTTCAACCCTCCCTGCCTCGCCAGCCCTCCTCCCGCTGCCACCGCCTCTTCTTCCTGCTCTTCCTCGCTCAGGGCTGACCCACAGCCCCTCACAGCCTTGCTGGCCGCAAGCAGCCCCCTGGCCTGGTCAGGCTCTCCCAGGGCTTTCCAGGCGGTAATCCGCTCAGCGAGGCTGCGTTATCCCCTCTTATGGAGAGGGGGAGGAGAGCAGGAACGTGACAGTGCCGGGGTGCGGCGGCAGTGGGTGTCGGGGGGCCCGGCCTCCCGGCGTTCCCTCGGGGCTGTGACGATGCTGGGGCTTTCCTCTCTCTCTCCTGTTGGCGTGGCGTGGCAGAGATGGCACAGCACGGCGTGTGGAGGGATTTTAGGCTCGGTTTTGGGTGAACCACCAGGATGTTGGCGCCGGGGGATGCTTTTCGTGGTGGTGCTGGAGCTCGGGCGCTGCATCTCTAGCACAGGGATGGTTTGGCACCTGTGTTGAGCAGCGGGTCGGTCTTGTTTCAATCCTTTCCTGGAGGATTGTGCTCCGTTGGATGAGACGTGCGGGGATGGATGTGTGCGCCGCGCTGCCCGGGCTGGTGTTGGATTTGTGTGGTGATGATTTTCTGGCTCCATTGCCGTTCCACTGGACGATGCAGCTTCTCCTCTGATGGGAGGACCCTGCAAGCCTCCATCCCTCTGCAGAGCTGCTGCAGGACAGGTCAGCGTGAGCCTCCCATGTTCCACACCGTGCCGTTGGCTCTTGGCACGCTCCCATCCCACAGGGATGATGGAAGCATCCCCTCTTCCTTTCTTCTCGGCAGACATCTCCCCAGCCTGCGGCTCTGGGTGCCCGGCTGGCCTTGCACGCATCGCTCCGTTCCTCCTGCTTCCTGGCATTGGTGGGAGGACTGCCTGCGCCAGGAACAGCATGATTCAGGATCTGCTGGCGGGTGGCTCGGCTGTCGGCACACAGAGTGCTTGTGCTGTAGTTGATATTAAGCTGGAGGACTGGGATGGAGAGGACCGTGCGCTGTGCAGGAGCCAGATGCAGAGCGGGTCTCCCTGGGGCTGTTTTTGCTCCAGCATCTGCTGCAGCTCAGTGCTATGAGATGGCTCCGGGTGTTGGGATGCTCTGGTGTGGAGAGATGGGCAGATGTGGCACTGGGGGTACGGTAGTGACCTCCCTCCCACACCCCAATGTCATTCATGTGCTGGGGACACCAGTGGATGACAGCACAGTCCCACCTGTGCTGTCACCATTATGGTGTGTGGGCAGCAGTTAGATACGCTTAACATGTGCCCCCATGGGGATGGCATTGATGCCACATGGATGATGTCCTTTGTCCCTGTGGATGGGGCTTGAGCTGCAAACCTGCTCATCCCGAGCTGCCACCGCTGCCTCTCTGTGTGACCTTGAGGTGCGTCGCTTGACCTCCACGCGGCACAGTCCGTCCATCTGGAAAATTGGGTTTAAAACACAGGAATCATGCTGAAAGAAAACCAGATGCTTCTGTTCAGCTGGGGGAAGGGCTCCTGCCTGGGGACAGGGACAGCAGGATGGTTCTTTTGCCTGTAATGCAGCAGGATGTCTCCATCCTTCAGGCAAAGCATCCTTCCTATAGAAGGGGTCCTGTGGGCACATCCCATGGGACATCCCAGTCTTTAGAGCCAAGCCTCATCGCTGCATCCTTGTTTCTCTCCTGGAAGCCTGGATCCCAGCAAGGAACAAGGGTAGTCCCAGCCTCAGTGGGAGCCCCATGATGGCATCACCCTACGAGATGGCAGCCTTCCCACTCCCTCTGGGATGCGTTCCACTCCACCTCCACATTTTGTATTCTCGCCTCCTGGCACGCGGTGTGCCTTTATTTTTCCTGGATCTGCTCTGATGATGAAGCCTGTTGATTGCGTGCTTTTCTTTACAGAGCATCCCCAGCTCGCTGTGAGCTGCTGCATCGTGGGGGCATTTGGGGTTTGCATCCCTGCTGTGTGTGGCTCTCTCCTTTGATCCAGGTCTCAAAGCCCCAGGTTATGTCTCGAATCCCCCCTGAACTTGGCTGGGAAAATCAAGTGCGTTTAAAAATACCCTTTCTATTTGTGCTCTGTTTCTTCTGGCGTCTGCGGGTTGTTTTCAAGCATTTCTTCACAAATGTGAGGGTGGGAAACACTTCTTTTAATGGAAAGCTGCAGTCTCCATTATTGATATGCTTTCAGGAGCTGGGACTGGAAGGGAAACCTGCATGTAGTAGGGTCAGGAGCGGCATCAGGGCTGGGTTTGCAGGCTGAGATGGGGCAGCCCTGGTGCTTCCTGATGAGTGGAGAGCCGGGTGCTGTCCCCATTCCCCTCTGCACCTGGGAACATGAGATTGTGGGGGTGTTCCTGGGTGTCCATCCTTGAGCTTCATCCCTGGGGTGGGGAAGCTGCTTGGCTGGGGGCTCTCTGCCCACGTGGCCCATTGGCAGCCTTGCTGCACGTGGTCATATGCCAGAAGAGGAGACCCCGGCACAGCACTGCCAGCACTGACCTATTTTCCTCTGTGTGCATTCTGGCACAGTGGCTGCGGGTGGAGGGTCAGTGCTGGGTCTGTCCAGGAATTAGGAGTCGCTGGGGTCACCTTTGGGGACAGATGAGTGCCCAGGGGCAAGTGACTTCTATTGTGTACACCAGGAGGTCCCCCAGAGCCCTTCCCCTTGGCATGGGAGTGCATAGCAGTGCTCTGCCTTACAGCACCATCCACGCTCTGTCGGGCTTCTGGAAGCTGAAAACCAGCATCCCATCCCCTGGGGCAGGAGGAGTGCAGGGGGATGGAGCTGGGAGCGGAGAGATTTGGTGAGGGAGTAGTGGGGAGGCTCTGTCCTGTGTTCATTCTGGGAAGCAGGAGGGGTGTCCCTTGGAAGGTCGTGGGCGATGCAGTGCCTGGCGGGGTGCTGGGGACCCGCTGGGGCGAGACAGCAGCCTGTGCTGGGGAGGCTGGGCCAGCGTTGTCCTTGGATGCTCTTGAGCTGCACGTGACAGCTGCTGTCCCTGCTCTGCGCAGGGGGGCTGCGGGCAGCCGGGGGGAAATCCCACTGCTCCCAGTGCTGTGTCCCTTCCTGCTAGGAGCTTGGCCGCCTCCCAGTGCTGCCCTGAAACCCATCCCTCTGCCACAGCTGTGTGCATGGGAGCAAACCCAGGGCTTGGCATGGGGAACGGGGAGTGCTGGTGAGGTCGTGGGCATGCTTTTGGGGCTGAGATGGCTCCTTGCAGCTCCTCACCACGGGGGCAGAGCTGCCGCCGTCACTGCTGACAGGGTGCAAATGCCTGGGCTCATCAGCAATGCAGTGCTAACAGGGCCCTGGAGGTGCGAGTGCCACCAGGGTGGTGCAAAGCAATCGCAGTGGCCCCACTCTTCCCTACCCCGATGGGGCCATGCAGAAACCTCAATAGCAGTGCAATGCAGCAAAGCTTTCCTCCATGCGCTCTCCTCGCATTGTGGTGCTTTCACCCTCCTCTCTGCTCACAGCCCTTCCCATTCCCAGCCGTAATCCAGTGCTGAAAGAAGCAGTGATGTCTGGCTTGGTGGGGGTTGCCTCGCTCTGTGGCACAGAGCAGGTTTGGGCTGGCAGAGCCCCGGGATGCCGGGTGGAGGGAGGGAGGGAGGGACGGATGGATGCACGGCGCGGGTCTCTCACCGGTGCACGCTTGTGCCAGAGCCAAAAATAGCCGGTGATGCTCGGCTCCCGCGGCGGGGAAGCGGTGATGTCATTCGCCGCCAATCACCGGCGGCCCCGAAGAGCAGCGCGGAGGAGTGGGAACGTGCCTCCCCGAGCATCCCTCCCCGAGCATCCCTCCCCGAGCATCCCTCCTCGAGCTTACCCGGGAGCGGGCAGCAGCCATGGATGGGCGGCTGCCTGTAGGATCGAGGGGTCCCTGCTATGATGTGCTGGAAACTGTGCTCATAGGTAGGGTTAAACCCCACATCTGCGCTTTTGGGAATCCCCAGCCTGCAGTGCTGCAGGAAGGCTGGTGTGTGGAGCTGCTGCATAGCCCCACGCTGCATCAGGCCCCCCCCCCCCCCCATCCCTTCCGTACTGATTTTTTGGGGATTGTGGAGAGCTCTGGAAGCCCGTCTAGAGCAGTTCCCTTCCCACATGCTGGTTGTGCTGGTGCTTTCTCACCACAAAGGCATTGAGCTGCTGTTCTGCAGGGCTTACAGTGTGGGAAAGGCGAGCAGTAACTTGGGAGTGGGCACCTCCCTGCCCTGGGTGCCCGTCTCCCTTTGTGAAAGCCGTGCTGAGGATGCTGATGGAAAGCATAGGATGATAACAGGCTGTCTCCAGGGTGGAGCAGCACCTTCATTGGGGGCAAAGAGGCTTTAATTGCTGTGGATGGGGTGAGGAGCAGGGTGCCAGGCCTGACCCACAGGTTGCAGCTGGGTTTCAAGCCTGGGGCTCTTGGTGACACCTGAGGATGGGGACTTGGCCACTCAGACTTGGCCATCCCAGGGCTGCGGGTGCTCAGTGCTGCTTGCTGAGCTCACTTGGCTTCTGATTTTGGTGTGGTCCGACTCTTGGGGTTGGCGCTTGGCATCTCCATCCAGCCTCACTGTCAGCACAGTGGTGTGCAGCAGGGTTGAGCTTCCTGGTTCCCCATCCCAAAGTCTCCAATTCTGCCTTCATCCTCTTGCAGGTGCCCTCGGCTCAAGGGAGGAACCCGAGTTTGTGACCGCTCGCGCTGGCGAGAGCGTGATCCTGGGATGCGACGTCATCCACCCGCTGACGGGGCAGCCGCCTCCCTATGTGGTGGAATGGTTCAAGTTCGGTGTCCCCATCCCCATCTTCATCAAGTTTGGGTTTTACCCTCCCCATGTCGACCCGGGGTATGCAGGTGAGGATGGGAGCTCGCCGTTTCCTCCGGGGTGCGTGCGGCTCCGCTCAATCTGCTCCTCCATCGGCAGCCGCGTGCGCTCTCTCTCTCATCGCTTTCTTTCCACCCAGTTGGTTTTAATTAAGCAGCAGCACTAGGAAGCCAGCTGGGCTGCGTGGGACGGGAGCAACCGAGGCAGAGAAACTCAGGGTGATGCGTGGTGGCAGCGGCTGCTGCTGTGCCCCAGAGCAGCTGTGATCCCGGGGAAGCTCAGGGGAGCGAGGCAGCAGTTCGGTCCCCTCTGGGGACACCTCCCTCCACTGGTGGCCAGGCATATGTGGCATTTCCAGCATAGCCACGTGGCTGCACACTGTTGTGTCACCTTCCCCGTGTGGCTGGAGGTGCTTCTGAAGGCTCCCTGGGCTGGTGGCGCAGTGGGGTTTGACCCATCGTGATGCACCATCACCATGGGGACCTCGGGTATGCAGGAGGCTGAGGCGTCTCCTGTGAGGATGCATTGGTGGGGTTCAGCATGCTGGGGGCAATTAGAGTGAGGTGGGAGGGTCTGGGGTCATAAAACTGACGGGCTGTGCTCTCCCCACAGGCAGGGCCAGCCTGCACGACAAGGCATCCCTGCGCATTGAGCAGGTGCGCTCCGAGGACCAGGGCTGGTATGAGTGCAAAGTGCTGATGCTGGACCAGCAGTACGACACCTTCCACAACGGCAGCTGGGTGCACCTGACGGTCAATGGTGAGTCCCAGCCAGCAGTGCAGTGTTGGGGTGTGGTGGTGCCACATCCAGCCCAGCGCTGCTCCTCTGTCTCAGCATGGAACCGTGGCATAGGATGCAGAAGGAGGTTGCGTGCTTGGGGAACACAGCTGTGCTGGGAGCATGGTGTGCATGAGTGGACAGAGATGGTGATGGGATAGAGGTGTGTGTGCTTTGGGTGTTGCGTGCACCAGGAGGACAGGGTCGCTGTTGCACTGAGATGTGGGGTCAAAACCAGTCCCTGTCTGTCTGCCACCTCCCTCCACGTGAATCCCTGCAGCACTGGAGTCGGTGTTTCAGGCTGGGCTGCAGGGTGTGACTCTGTGCATGGCTTTATAGTTCTAATAGGTGACAGTGATGGACAGCCACCCTCCAGATTTGGCAAAGCCTGAGCGTGCAGGCTGCTGGGGCTGGCACTTGGCAGAGGGCAATGGGGCAGGTGCCCAACCCCGGGGAGCTGCAGATGGCCTGGGCAGCAATGCCAGGAGCAGGGGCCAGGTCCCTGTCAAAGCCACGCATTGAGGCAGTTCTGCAGGATGATGCTTTGACCGGGGAGGGCAGAGGGCTCAGGTGTGGCCGTGCCAGATGCAGAGTTGCTGTGGGGCTGGGCTGGGTTCCCTTTGATGCTGGACTTAGATCCTGTCTGCATCTTTAACTGACAAAAAAACCCGTCCAGACTGACTTCAAGCAGGGACATCACTCGCAACAGGGACAAACTTTTATTACTATTCACACCATTTAATTACACAATGCTTGTTGAAAGGCGAGACATGAAGAAGACAGGGCAGGGCCCACATCTCCTCTTCACAAACAAATCAGAAAACCAAATCTTTGTTTTCTTGAAATTCAGATTGACTCCAATGACTTTTTTCGCCCCCTTGCCCCCCCCTTCCCATTTTATTAGTGCTGAGTGTTCAACTAATTAGCAATTTGTCGTTTTCCACGTCAGGAGCCGTCTTTATTTTTAGCTCTGGGAGGCAGGACGCTGTGCTGCAGAGGGGCTGAGGCTCCTGCCTGACCTTGAGCCACTTATGGCACCTCCAGGAGGGCCGTGGCACGGTGCAGAGCTGCCTAATTGAGCCCAATTAACGAGCAGGAGCAGGGCATGGGGCGCGGTGGTTGTGTCCCTGCCCGCTGCCTCCTTCCATCCATGCAATGCGGGATGAGCTGCTGTCCTCTAATGAGCTCAGAGAGGCTGGGAAGGAAGGAGGGAGGGAGGAGGAGGAGGAGCGCAGGGTGAGATGGGAGGAAGGCGTGTGCAATGGCTGGTGGAGCTCGGGCTGTGCGGGGATGCAGGAGGAGGGTGGTGTGTGCTCCATCTGCACCATGCAGCGTGCATGGACCCTGTAAAGCACTTGGGAAATGCCACTGGGCTGTGCCTCAACTGCCAGCTGAGCTGGCTGGTCACCACCTGCTGGTGTGAGCCCATTTCCCAGCACAGAGGGCACTGGGGTGAATGGGAGCTGCTGGGCGCTGCCAGCACGCCGTGGGGTTGAGCAGGGCGAGGTGACCCCATGTGCTTTCCCCATCCTTGTGCTGCTCTTCGTGTTTTCTGCAGCACAGGGCCTTAATAACAAAATAATAACTATAATTCTGCAGGGTCGAGGAGCTGCTTTCAGGGGGAGGGCTGTGGCTTTCACCTTCCACATTAGAATGCTTAATTTTCATTGGGGAAGATAGAAATAAAATATAATTCTTTTTTTTTTTCTTTTTCTTTTTTTTTCCCCCCAAGCAGATTAAATTGCCAACCTGTCTTCCTCGAAAGTGGGCTTTAACAACTGCTGGTAATTAGGGGCGGGCTGTAATCCTGCCAACCTCTTTAATCAGAAGGGAGTCTTTCGATCTGCACTGCGGTGTTTTCTTATGTTTTGACAATAGCGAGTTAATGCGTGATGGGAAGCGAGGGGGAAAGCTGTGCTGTGCTGGGGAGGAGAAAGTGCCATGGGGTGTACTCGGAGGGATTCTGGCCTTCCATGTAGTGCTGTGACATTGCTGTCCTTGCAGCTTCAGCCCTGTTAGCCTTTGGGTGCTGCCTGCCCCTTTCCTGGGGAGAAAGGGTTCACAGGGTGTCCCCACCTCTGTCCCTGTGCCTCTGCATGACAGTGTGGGATGGGGAGGGTGACAGCACTCTGCTCCCTCCCCAGCACCCCCCACCTTCACGGAGACACCACCGCAGTACGTGGAGGCAAAGGAGGGCAGCAGCATCACCCTGACCTGCATGGCATTTGGCAACCCCAAGCCCATCGTCACCTGGCTGCGAGAGGGCGAGCTGCTGGCCGCTGGCCCCAAGTACCAGGTGGGTGCCATGAGGATCCCCACCACGTGTCCCTGCAGCAGAGATGAGATGGATGATAGTGCATGCGGTGGCTGGAGCCAGTCTTGCTGTCTCAGCACATTTCCCTGCTTCCCAGCAGTGGGAATGGGGGTGGGGGGGTTGTGATGCCTGGGCTGCTGGGGGCTGTGCTGCTCCCTTTCCCCAGGAGAGGGTGAGGGCTGGGACCTGGGGACGTGGTGGCTGCAATGGGGTGAAATCAAATGATTTGAGCAGGGGGGGCTCCCCCAGCCCTGTTTCCCATCCCATAGGCTCCCACTCCTCTCCCGGGCAGAGATTCCATCCGAGCCATAATTGGTAAATCAGGCATTGGAATCAGCGCAGGCACTAATGAGAGTAATTAGGAATCATTTGTTACTAATTGAAATAGAAGGATGAGGCAGAATGAGCGGCGGGGAGGGAAGCTGCCTGGGAGCGCGGCGCTCGCTGGCAGGGGGGATGCAGCAGCCTATGGGGGTGAAAGTCCCCATCCATCCTCTGCACATCCTCAGCCAGGCCACGGCTGCCAGGCAGCGCCAGGGGGAGGAGGCTGGGGGTCATTGAGAAGGGTGTGGGGAGGAATGGGAAGCTTCTCATGGTCCCACAGCCTGCAGGGACGCCGAGCAGTGCCCCTGGGACTGGGATGCCCACTGAGCTCCGTGCAGAGTGCAGCACTGTTGTTGGGAAACGCTTGGCAGGAGTGGAGCAGTTTAGAGTCTGCTGTGCGTCAATCACTCCTGCAAGAGATGAATACATTGTGAGAGATGAATACATTGCAAGGCTTTTTTTTTTTGTTTTATTATTATTTTTTCCCCCTTGGCGTCGAGCAGAGACGTGTGTGTTGGTTTATTAATATCTTGCAGAGCGGGGAAACCCATTTCTCAGTCGGCTCTACCGGCAGCCTCAAATCCCATCCGTTGCCTTCTTGTTGGCTTTGGGGGTGCAGGGAGAGAGTGAGCATCCTGCTGGTGGGCTCTGTGTGGTCCCCACATCCTGTGTGATCCCCTCTGGTTGCCCACAGGTCAGTGATGGCAGCCTGACGGTGCTTTCTGTCAGTCGGGAGGACAGAGGTGCCTACACCTGCCGGGCATACAGCATCCAGGGGGAGGCTGTGCACACCACACGTCTGCTGGTCCAAGGTGAGTGTCCTCGGGGTCCCCAGGAGGCTTTGGGAGCTGGGACATCCCTGTGTGTCCCCAGTTGTCCCTGGGAAGATCCCAGCCCTGTCCCCATGGTATGGCAAGGACCAGGGTTGGTCGGTGGCACAGCTTGGCCACAGCACGCTGCCACCCCCTACCTGCAGCCTTCCATTAAAAACACCATCAATAAATAAACAAAGGAGGAAGTGGAGCCCAAACCCCAGGCATATAAATGATATTGGGGCTGCCAGCTCATTGGTGGCACGGAGAGCAGGTTAGGGTCAGGCTGGGATCCCGGGCAGCACCAGTATGTACCTCCTCCCCTGTGCATTGCAGTGGGAGATTTTTTGGGTTTGGGTTGGGGTCCTATTAACACCAGGGCTGATGTGAATTGCCAGCGAGGATCTGCATCCCGTTTGTAGGACAGAAATCCATTTAATTGGGGCACTCCAGTGGCCACCCTGTCATCTCAATGAAGCAGCTGTGCAAATTAGCAGCCGGGCCCTGATTGCAGCTCGGTTTTGTTTGGAAAGCAGGGAAAGATGGAGAATGTCACAAAGCGCCTTGTCAGAGAGCGGTGATACATGGCCTGCCTCCTGCTCCTCTTTATTAGTTAAGTCTTTAATTAGGTCAACAGCTTTTGGCAGAGGGAGGAGCTGGGGGGTCCTGGCGTGGACAGGAGGATGTGTTTGCAGGGAGACCGGCCCCAGCTTGGTCCCTATGGGGGTGATGGAGACCGGCCCCAGCCTGGTCCCATAGGGGTGATGCTCTCCTCCCCCAGGACCTCCCTTCATCGTTTCCCCTCCGGAGAACATCACAGTGAACATCTCTCAGGATGCACTGTTCACCTGCCAGGCCGAGGCGTACCCCGGGAACCTCACCTACCTGTGGTACTGGGAGGAGGAGAATGTCTACTTCAAGAAGTGAGTTTGCAATGCATCCCACGCTGGCGCTCTCCTTGCTCCCTCACTCCTGGCATCGCCGTTTCCATCCGTGCTCCTCCTGCAGCTTTTCTCCCCTCTCTTCTCTTGCAGTGACCTGAAGCTGAGGGTGCGGATCCTGATTGATGGCACGCTGATCATTTTCCGGGTGAAGCCAGAAGATGCTGGAAAATACACCTGTATCCCCAGCAACAGCCTGGGCCGCTCGCCGTCTGCCTCCGCCTACCTGACGGTGCAGTGTGAGTGCAGTGAACCCTAAGGGATGCTGTGAGGTGCCTGCTCCCTGCTGTGCATGGGGGGGGGGTTGTCCCCAGGCTGCCCATGCTCCAAATCTTGCAACATTAGGGCTGGTCTTATGCTTCTGCACAAGGCTGAGAGCATCTCTGTGTGCTGGTGGGGTGTCCTGGGTGCCACCCCTAAGTGGGATCAGTGCTTGCCTTCCTGAAAAGTGGTTTATCTCCTCTTGCTGCTGCTCCTGTGGGTGCTCCCGATTGCTGTTCTCATTGCTTGGGCACAGAAACACCAAATCAGGGCTTTTAACACCAAATACCCGCTTGTATTTTCTAGGTATTTATCATAGGTTGCGTGGATTTCTGTGAATTTGTAGCTGTGCATGGAGTAGTTTCAGGCAGTAACTGATCTAAACAAACGCAGAACAGCTCTGAAAGGAGCATTGCTGCCCACGCCTGTTCTTTCAGGCTCCCCCTGCTTTAATGGGTAGTGTGCCACAAGCGTCCTATGGCATTTGACAGTAATGGTCCAAATTGCTACGCTTTGCAATTGTGGTATTGCTCTGCTGTAAAAGACCGTAGCGATTTTATTCTATAATGAAAGATAGACTCGAGCAAGCTGGGCTTGAAGCACGGTTCCCGATGGCCTTACAGCTTGTGTCTGCAGCCCCACTGCTGGTAAATGCCCTGCAATGGGAGAGCCCGATGCGTGCTGCCGTATGGCGTGCCCAGAGGAGCAGGGTGCACACAGAGCTGGCACAGGGCTTGTGCTGACCCAGACTGGAGCACAGCCAGCGCCTGGCAGAGCCTCTCGATCCCATTACTGTCTCCAACCCCTTGATTGCATTTCCGAAGAGGTCAAGTTAAAGGCAGGGGGATAAAGCGGGTCCCATATGCACTGCTGTGTAAGCTGGGTTATTGTGGCAGTGCCTGGTTTTGGGGAGCTCTCATGTGTGCAGCTCTGTGCTGCTGGGGGGGCTTGCACCCGAGCTTGGTTCCTTTTGCCCTAAGAAAGCAGCAGTGAGAAGGATCTGGATTCTCGTGCCAGGCTTTGGCTCTGCACGTTTTGCCCACTTTGCATTTCTGCACCCCAAAAACGATTTCGTCTCTTCGTGCAGCGTAAGCCCTGCTAGGATTTTCCCGTAACCTCGTGCTGCTGGTGTCTAGACAAGATTGTAGAAATACTCGCTCTTCCTATTAAAGTAACTTCTTTTTTTTAAAAAAAAGCTTCTTATTAAAGAAAGTCTAGGTTCTCTCCAACCCACTCGCACTTAATTAAAAAGCTCTTAGAAGTGCTGTTAATGACACGTTCTAGACTCGAGGATTGCGAGACGCCTTCCCGTGTGGGTGGTGAAACGTGGGGAGGTTGGAGGCATATTTTAAGCGTTTGCATCCCATTTGGAAGGGTGGAGGTGGCTGATTTTTCCACGCAAGCCAGCAGCAATTAGGCACAGGCTGTGAGTGCAAACAAACAGGAGGTAAACAGCTCTGGACAGCAGGTCTGTGCTGTGCTCCGGGGTGCTGCACTTGGTGTGGTTAAAGGTTCTGGAGTTGTTGTACTGGAGTTGTTTCCTATATAAACAGCAGGAATGGTGTTGTCCCCTTGGCAGATGCCTGCAGACTTGCCCGCAGCCTTTTCCTCTTGGTGTGCAAAGTGAGCTGCAGGGAGGGTGGGTGCCTTGCTTGATGCATGTGTCACCTTGCGTGTGTCCTGCAGGCTGAGGCTGTGCTGATGGAGCAAGTCGGTCTGGATGTGCCAAGCAGATGCATTTAGCATTTCGTTTTAGATGCAGCTTTTAATGAGCTCCTGGTAGGAGCACTCTGGGTGCAAGCAAAGCCTCACAGAAATGCTGGGTATTAGAATGGATTTTGAGTGTGTAGCAAGCCTGGAGATAACAGCTTGTGGGAGCTGGAGGGAGCATTTGGGTTTTGTACTCATCACAAACGCAATGTGATCCTCAAGAGCTGGGTGATGGCTGGGCTGATGGGCTCCTTCCCAACACTGACGCGCTGCTGCTGCTATCCCAGATCCTGCCCGTGTGGTGAACATGCCCCCCATCATCTACATTCCCATCGGGATCCACGGTTACATCCGCTGCCCCGTGGAGGCAGAGCCCCCGGTCACGCTGGTCAAGTGGAACAAGGATGGCCGACCCCTGCGCATCGAGAAGGTGAGCAGCCAGGGAAGGGTGGCAGGGAACAGGGTGGCTGCTGTCCCTGCGTGGCGTGTCCTTGCCTTGGACAGGATGGATGGTGCTGCTTTACCTTATCAGCAGCTTTGCTCTGAGTTAATTCAGGTGCCTGCAGACGTGCTGTCTGTCTCCCAGCCCTCTCCAATGACCTTTTGATGGCTCTGTGTTCTTCCAAGGGCAGCTAATGGTTAAAAGACCCTTTTAACAAGTCTCCGTCATCCTTTAATCATTGTTTGATGTTCTGAGCCATTAAATATTTAAGGAAAACACTTCGTGTTTTAATTTTTTTTGTTTAAATATTAACGATTGGATGTTTTTATTTGGTTTAAGCTCGCTGTTGATGTGGGCTCCTTGGTGCCACCAGTCTTTGGTGTCCCTATTGCTTAGCTGCATTTCACTCTGGTGGGGACACAGGAGCCTGAGTGGAGACTCCTGGTCTCTCCAGTTAACGAAAGGTTGGGAGCTGGGTCCTGGAATGACTCCAGCCTGTGACATAGGAGGCTTTCTGTTTAATAAATGCCCAACAAGAGAGTGCTCAAAGAAAAAGGCAACCTCAGTGCCTATAGGCACATGTTTGACAATAGTTGGAATGGACCTACGAAGATCACTGAGCCTGTCTGTTTCATCTGGGGTATGACAGACTGTCCGTGAGTCCTTTGGGTTACTTGAAGAAGCCTGATTGTCTGCGAGGGGGAGAGCAGCAACAACATTAATGTGTGTCATCTGTGTGCTCAGAGCTGGAAATCCTTCCCAGGGAAGGACAGGGAGCAGCGAGATGCTGGCAGGGATTCAGACTCCGTGGGTAGGATTTGTCTCACCTAATTTTAGGTGTCTCCAGGGCTGATGGCTGTGTTGAGGACTACTCACCCAGGCTGCTCTCGTAGTCCTCAGAGAGAGAAGCGCTTCCAGGAGACAGCTTTTCTTTGACTGAGCTGAGGCATCCACAGCTGCAAGGGGTGAATCACACCCTGGGATGTGTGCGTATAGAGAAGGGCAACGAAGCTGTGAAGGATCTGGTTTGGATATTAGGAAGCATTTCTCATCGAAAGGAATGATGCTGCACTGCACAGCTGCCCAGGGAGCGGTGGCCTCAGTGTCCTTGGAGATGTTCCAGAGCTGTGGGGCACTGAGTGGCATGGTGGGATGAGTTGGCTTGGGGAGCTGAGAGGTCTTTTCCAACCCGAGTGATTCTAAGACCCAGTGATTTCATTAGTTAGAAAAGAGGGCTAGAGCAAGGCTGAGATGAGGGTTTCCTCGCAGTGAGAGGACTGTGTGCAGACAAGCTGATCTTGCCTGCATTTCCTCTCTGCAGTTGAGGAGGTGGCTTGGAGATGGGTTGGACTTTGGGAATGGAACTGGACGCTTGAAAGTGATTTGGGAATCTCCAGGAGACACACCAGGCACCCCTGGGCTTAGGGTGTTGGGCTTGGCTGAAGGGAAACATAAGCAGTTGTGTGCGTAGGATGCATCAAACCCCTCTTTCTCACCACCACAGTACTCTGGCTGGAACCTGCTGGAAGATGGGTCGATCCGAATTGAGGAGGCAACCGAAGATGCTCTCGGCACTTACACCTGTGTGCCTTATAACGCCCTGGGTACGATGGGCCAGTCTCCCCCTGCCCGACTGGTACTGAAGGTAAGGTGCATAGTGCAGCACTTTGGCTGGGTGTGGGATGCTGGGCACTGCTGGGTGCCTGCTGATGTTTCTGCTTTTCCACCTGTGTGACTCAGCTTGCTCAAACCTATTGCCTTTTGCTGTGAGCTTTGTTCCTTACCCGAGAAAGGCGAGGGCAGAACCTCATAAGCACTCATGCAATGAGGGTGACAGCAAAACCCATTCTGAGCGCTCCCTGCCCACTGCAGCTGGAAATACCACTGTGCAGCTGCAATTTTGGCACAAGATTGGGCAAAGCCTGCTGCTGTCAGTGTTGTTGGCATGCAAAAAGCCTGTGCTGCTGCATTGCCACTGCTATTTTAGGCTGTGCTGGAGCTGGCAAGCTGAGCTGGGGATGCCTACCTGTGCTGCTTAGCACCTTCAAATGCCAAATAGGCATTGCCAACACTCATCCATCAAGCATTCTTTAAGTTTGCAGCCATGCAGCAGGACTTGGGCAATGCTCAACCGCTCTGCAAGTTTGCTGCAGAAATTGCAAGAGTTCAGTGCAAAGAAGTGCTGAAGTCTGACTGCAGTGATTTGTTAATGGGTGTAGATTAGTGGGGCAGCCCAGGCCCAAATATGTGTTGGTGCCTAGCACTGAGTTTGAACAGTGCTGGACCGGGATAAGTTGAGCACTTCATTCATGGCCCTGAGAGGGGCCATTTTTGCCAACGGAAGATTCAGACTTGCTGACCCAGCTTTAGATTTGCAGAGAATTTTAATGAAAAGCTGATTTAAGCTGTAGAGAAGCTCCACGTGCTTCTGCTGCGTGCTCAGCCCAATGCACGCCGGGCTCTGCTGTAGTCACCAATGCTGCTGGGATAGGAGCTGCTGCTCTTTGTTCTCTGAACAAAAAGACACATGCCTGCAAACGGTGGTGGTGGTGAGTTGTGTTATTGCTGAGGCTCATGCAATGCAGCTTAGCAAACCTCGTGTGCACGCACATCCAGCGAGATGGTTGTGGAGCTGACGAAATCAGGCTGATACCTGATGTGACGTGGGTGGTTTTTTCCTGTTTGCCTCCTTAAAATTTAAACAAGGCTTCATAGCACTGTGTCTTTTCAGAGAAAACTTCTGTGTGTGTGCGTGTGTAATTTAGTGTACCATAAAGCCTCCTCAGCACACGCTTTCTGCTGCCTTCACCTCACCCAAACTGCTGATGGTTCTCGTTTTGGGAGGGTTTGATGGCACAGGGCTGCTGACATGTGGCAGTTCTTTGTGTGGGCTCAAGCTCCTTGCCTTTTCCCTTGGCTGCAGGACCCCCCCTATTTCACGGTGCTACCAGGCTGGGAGTACAGACAGGAGGCAGGGAGGGAGCTGTTGATTCCTTGTGCTGCTGCGGGAGACCCCTTTCCTATCATCGCCTGGAGAAAGGTACCCGGCCTGCCAGACAAATCTGCAGTGCCTTTGGCTTTTGGTGAATATTGCAGACAGAGAAGCCACACTCTGTCCCGGTAAGAACAAACTGCAGGTACAGCTGCTTCGCTTTGGGCTGAGCCACTGCCGTCCTGTCCCGCAGGTGGGTGGGGGAAGCCCAGCTTGTGGCCATCAAGTACTTAATACTGGGAAACCTTCTCAGCAGCATCTGCAAAGCTGAGCTCTGCTCCCACCCCGGCTCCCTGTTCCTCGCTGATGCTGCTCTCAGGACCCTCCCGGCCCAACATGAGGCTGGCACCGGTGACACTGATCCTGCAGCACAGACCTCCTGCAGCAGGAGGGCATTGTGCCACCACAGCGGGTTTGGGGGCTCTGCCCTGAGCTTGGCCAAGTTTTGGCAAGGGCCTGGACCCACCAGTGGCTGCTTTGCTGCCCTGGGAGTTGGAAGACCGTGGAAAGTAGCTTGTTTTGATCCTGCTGGACTGGACGTGGCAATCTGAGGATGTTCCCTTTTGCAGGGCCAGGTGTGATGTCACCAGGGCTTTCCTGCCTCCCTTGCCCTTTGCTTCCCAACTTTGCTGCTCCCGTAGGGAAGCCACTGCCCAGCTGTCAGGATCGTCTCCTGTCCCCTCCCAGCCCTTCTCAGGGGGATCCCTTCATTGCCCTATGAGTGAGATGCTGGATCTATTCACCAAGTTACACCAGCACTAGGAGGACTGTAACTTGTACTGCTTTTGAGGGGCCTACCTAAAACTTGCTGGCTCTTTAGTCATCTTATCCAACTTATTTTATCTTCCTTCCCCATCCCCTTCTTATTTAGGTTTATTTCAAAATACTTTTGTGCTCTCTGACCCTCTTCCTCACAACGCAACTTTGGGCTTTTCCTCCCCTGACATCATCTAGGACTGAATTGGGCTGAGCGGAGGTTCTCAGTGAAAGAAGTAAGCTCTCTTGCTGCCCACCAGCCCTTGAGGGCTGACCTCCTTCTCCTGGAGGACTGCATAAGACCTGGGCTGGGCACTAGTAACCCGCCATGCTCCTGCTGCAGGTCCCTGGAGCCCATCAGTGGGATCCATGCATGAAGAATAGCAGAAGAGAGCTCAGAGCAACACGGGATTTGTGGAGCTTTGGATAATGGGCATAAACACAAGTTGTTTGAAGAGGCATCCTTCCGCTTGGCTTGAGAGCTGCCAGGCACCTCCATGCACGCCATCCTCCCATGTCCCCAGGCTGCCTCCTGCTGAAGTCTCTGCCACTGGCTGGGACTGAGTGGAGCAGGAGAGGCTGCTGTGAATCTCCTGGGGCAGACACCCACCTCAGAGAGTGTTTGTGGGGACACTCAGTGCCTCATCCTCCACAGCGGTGACAATTTCAGCTTCGGATGCTGGAGGAGCCACGCTGAGTTCTTGTGAAGGGTTCGGTGTCTGTAAGACTTGTTTTCAGGCCTTTAGACTTACGTATGAGTTGGGAATATCAGCCTCTGTTTTGCGTGTCTCCTGAGTAACTGAGCCAAGTCGTATTGAAAGCAGGGAGACTGCAGCAAGCAGAGAGATGGGAGCCCTCGCTAGGGCCTGGTGGTGCCCCATAGGCCTTACAGATAGCTCAGTCATCGCGTTGCTGCCTTGCCTGGCTTGACGTGCTTCTGAATTGTGGTTTTCTCTCTTTGCCATGCTCCCCTTGCTCCTTGCCCAAGGTAGGGAAGCCCAGCAGGAGCAAGCACAACACGCTGCCCGGCGGCACCCTGCAGATCCGCTCCCTTGGCAAGGACGACCATGGCGAGTGGGAGTGCATCGCCACCAACGTCGTCGCAAGCATTACTGCCAGCACTCACCTTACAGTTGTAGGTAGGGGCAGGGGATGGGGCTTCGGGGATGGCTGGTGGCACAGGGACACGTTCCTGGGGTGCGCCCAGCAGCGTGCTGAGCGTGGCACGGGATGCTTCCCATGGAAAGCGATGTCTCCCTTTAATTCCAGCTGCCAGTGGTGCTGTATTTTCTGCTCTTTTATTTTGGCCACATGCTGCTGGTATTTCTAGCAGATATTCTAGATAGGAAAGCCTTTGCTTTGTGCAGGCGGAGTCTCTTTGTGTCATGGCTGGAAGCAAATCCACACCAGGAGCAGTGGGCTGTGTTAGTGCTGGGAATTGCAGCCGTGCCACTGCTCCTGCTGCAGCCCATCTCTCTCCCTGCAGGCACAAGCCCTCATGCCCCTACCAGCGTGCATGTTGTGGTTGCCATGACCTCTGCCAATGTCTCCTGGGAGCCCGGCTATGACGGTGGATATGAGCAGACTTTCTCAGTTTGGTACGGCCCTCTGTGAGTCATCCTGGCATGCTTTGCTCTCTGCTTCTTTTTCTTCCTAGCTGAGCCCAGCTTTGAGCAGCGGGGCTGTGCCATGGGGGTGTGGTGGCTGGAAGCAAATGCACGCCCGGAGGGGGGGGACATTGCTTGGGTTGCACTGTGATGCAGGGTAGAGCCCCAGTGCAAATCTATACCCTGGGGTGGGAGGGACGGGGAGGATGGAGGTGGCCCTGGCTGTTCTCTGCAGCTTTTCTCTGCTCTTGCTGGGTGCAGAGGAGCTGCTTGTGGGGCACTGCAATGCCACCCAGCACATTGGAGAGACCAGCAACAGAAGTGCTGTGGAGGGCTGTAGGTCTGCAGTGTTTCCTTTCTCTCTTGTGCTAGCAAGTACATCTGTCTGCCCCAGCACATTTTAGTCTGCTTACACAGGGAGACACTTTGCATTCATGTAACTTTGCCTCTGGCATCTAATTTCAAGATAAACTGTTTATGAAGCTTAGCAGCCATGGAGAGGATGGAAAATGCAATCTTTAGAGAGTGCATCCTGAAGAAATGTGACTAAGCAGAAACGATCTCTCCCTCCTCTGTGTGATCCCTGGGGGCTGTTAAATCCCAGTTCAGCTTGAGACCAGTGACGGTGAGATGCTGTCTGGGAGACTTTACTCCCTGAGCTGCTGGTACCCAAAGCAAAGGATACATTCAGCCTCCTCACAATGAGGCTGGCTCTGCTGGCCCCCCACCCCGAGGCAAGAGAGGGCAAAATGTGTCTGCAGTGAGGTCAGGCTTTTCTCTGGGCTCTGCACTTACTGTTGTCCTTCTCTTCTGAGAGCCACACTTTGAAATGTGAAGGGGGCCCTTTCACAGGCTGGTGTTGATGTCCTCCCCCACTTCTTCAGCCTTTCTTTCCTTCCTTTCCTTAATTTGCCCGGATGGGGTCTGCTGATAGAGTGGAGATTGGAGAGATGCTGCTCATAATGAGTTCTGCACTGCTCTAAACCGAGGACGGTCTCTACGCTCGCACAGTGGGGTTGGATAATCGTGTCAGGAGACAAAGGACAGGAGAGAGGAAGAAGGAATTGAATGAGTGGAAGAGAAAAATGAGGAGGCAAACAGGAGTGGATGTAGCAGCGCAGACCTTGCGTAGCTGCCTCTGAAAACGTCCTTGGGAAGGACTGATCTGACCTCCTCGCTCTTGAGACGTGTCTCACCTTGCAGGGAGGTGGCAGCTGCTGGCTGCCTGCCCAGCCCTGTTTTTCTCCAGACCCCCCCACGAAATGAGAGCAGCCAGAGGCAGGGAAGGGCGTTAAGAAATTTAATGCAGGGGACAGTGGGGAGTTGGAGAAGGAGGGAGAGCCCCACGCAGCTGCACTCCATCCAACTCTTATGGCGTGGGCGCTGGGGTCTCCACTGGAGTTGCTGTGATTTTGGGGCTTTCCTGCCTGCAGCTGGGTTTGGTCTAGGCACTCTGCACGTGCACAGAGCTCTGCTGAGCTGCTTGTTTCCATGGCTTGCTGCTGCTCCTCCTGCCTTCCCTTTTGCTCCCTTTACAGCAGCATTGCTCGGCTTTGCTCCAGATGGGTTTACCTGGCAGCGCACCGACACCTCACATATCTGCAGAACAGAGCTTCTGCAGTGATCCTTTCTAAATCCTCTGTGAGCACAACAGAAACCTGCAGCTGAGGGCTGGGACTCCCTAGAGCATCTCTAGTGCATGCGTGGAGCTCAGCAATATTTGCAATATCATTGCAGCACAAAGATGCTGCTTTGAGACATCGGTCTCTTTCACCATGACACTCCTGTTGGTAGCAGTGAATTGGAGATGGATGCTGTGGTGACTGTGCTTCATGTGCCCTGGATTTTGGGGTTAAACCCACAAAATGGGCAAAAATGAGGATTTAGGTAACCGCCTCCCTTATGGGATTGTATGTACTAGGATACAGCTGATGGGAAGCTTAGCTGTGGCTCGGGAGCTGTCAGGGTATGAATGAGAACAGGGCCTTGTCACTTTGGCAGCACTTAAAGTTTAAAAACAAAACAAACAAACATAAAAAAAAAACCTCAGCCAACTTGCTTCTTTGCTTCGGGGATGTGATGGAGGTAATCCTTAGAGCGGGGCTGCTGGCTTTGCTTTTGTTTGTGGCCACCCTGCTGTCAGGGTGTGGGGTGCAAGGTGGTGATGGCAGTGACTGTGATGCGATGGGACAACGCTCCAGGTCCTCGTGCACACTGACCTTGAGCCAGCTTTTGGGTGGCAAGTGTCAGCACCGCATCCATGCACGTTGCTGCTGCCAAACCAAACCATCTCTCGGGAAAGCTCCATTATCACTCGAGAAGTTAATGCAGCATCTTTGGTTCTCCCAGTCAAAGGCGCATTCCCTGAAGATGCTCCCTTCTCTCTTGGCAGGATGAAGAGAGCCCAGTTTGGCCCCCATGACTGGCTGTCTCTCCCTGTGCCAGCTGGTTCCAGTTGGCTACTGGTGGATACACTGGAACCGGAGACCGCATACCAGTTCAGTGTCTTGGCTCAGAACAAGCTGGGCACCAGCTCCTTCAGTGAGGTGGTCACTGTGAACACTCTAGGTAGGTCCTCCCCAAGCACAGTGGGAGGAGGGCAAAGAGGGTTTCAGGAGGTCTGCAGAGGAGGGGAAATGGCCCTTTGCATAGGCTGTGTCCTCTGCCTGGGGGTGGTAATGTTCAGCATTAGTTTCCAGCTGCAAAGGAGGTGTTTGTGGAGTGTCCTGGATGGAACCTGTGGACTTGAGGCTCCCAAAAGCTTGTCCTAAGGCAGCTCAGGGGAATGCTACTGTGGTCCTGGTCACCTTTCATGTCTTCCTGAAGTTCAGCTTGGGGCAGGAGTTATTAATAGAGCACAGAATCACTTGCGTGCGGCTCAGAGCTGGAGCTCTCACAAAGGGCTTTGAACTGGGTACCAGCCTTGGGGCTGTCTCAGAAATAGGTCGAGAGAGGAGGAGGCTTTCTGATGCTGTGCCCCTTTTCCTAGTCCTTGTATCTTTAGTCCACCCCTTTTTGGAAAGCTGATTTTCTGTCTCTGGGATGAGAGAGCACGTGTCTGAGATATGTCCTGACCTGCTGTGAGGTTGGGAGCTGCTGCTGCAGTGATGCTCTGTCTGCTGCTGATGCCAGCATGTGGGAGGGATCCCGGCATGCTGCTCTTGTGCAGACCCATATGTCATGGCTGTGTGCAGAGGCACGAGGAGCCGCTGCCCCAAAATGCAAGGGGAGAGATCATGGCCATAACCTCGGAGAGGAGAGCATCTGCTGTGCTTCCCCTGACCCCATCTCAAAGGTCCATCTCCTCTGTCTGCAGCATTCCCTGTAACAACTCCAGAGCCTCTGGTGTTGGTTACCCCACCGAGGTGCCTAACAGCCAACCGGACACAGCAAGGCGTCCTCCTGTCGTGGCTTCCTCCTGCTAACCACAGCTTTCCGATTGACCGCTACGTCATGGAGTTCCGCATTGGGGAGAGGTGGGAGATCCTGGACGATGCCATCCTTGGGACCGAGAGCGAGTTCTTTGCCAAGGACTTGTCCCAGGTGAACAGGGAGGGACTGCCCTGGAAGCTTTTCAGGGTGACTCGTTTCCTTCGCAGGGCTGATTGATGTGTTTGGTGTTTCAGGACACTTGGTATGAGTTCCGGGTCCTGGCAGTCATGCAAGATCTCATCAGCGAACCCAGTAACGTTGCTGGTGTGTCCAGTACAGGTGAGGACTGCTGCTTCCTTCTCCCTCCCTTTGCATGGCTGCTTTGGGAGCATCTGCACTCTGCAGTGCTGCTCTGGTGGGGTGCATTACTATAGCAGCGCTGGCTGGAGCAACTGCTTTTGTGCGTTTGCTTGCAACCTTGGCTGTGAGCTGGGTTAGGATTAGTGTCCCAGCACAGCTGCTGTCTCTCTGATCACAGAAAGCATTAGTCTTTAAAGCAACATAGCAGTGTATTGGCTGATGCTGTGTTGGTGCTTTCCATAGCCGAAGGTGAATTTGAGAGCTGGGCCACTCTGCTCCCTTGTGTTGTCTTCAGAGCAGCAGTGCTGGGAGCAGGCAAGGTCAAAGTGCCCTTCTTGGTCCTTGCTGCTCTGTGGGGTGCCCTGAGAACAAAGCTCTGAGCCCAGCACTGCGCAGCCTGGAAATGGAAATGAAGGGTGCAGAGAGGGAAATGCAGCACTGCAGTGCGGTGTCTGGGGCGGCGGGGGGGAAAAGCAGCAGAGCTTTGAAACAGAAGACTGCTACACACTGCAGTGTGTCCCCTGCACCCCAGTGCAGCTCGGAGGAGCACTCCTCCAGCCAGGGCTGGGCAGGTGATGGCGATGGGAAGGGGGAGGTCTGCAGGAGGCAGAGGATGCAGTGAACCCTGCTGGTGTGGTTTTCCTGGAAAAAGCTGAGGAGCCGCCCAGTTGGGCTGCGTGCAGGAATGAAGCAGTCTCTCTCTGCCCCCAAGTGGTGCTGGCGCGATGCAGGGAGCCTGCAGCCTGCAGCCTGCTTCTCTGTCCTCCCAGTGCTGCTCTTCTCCTCTTGCCCAGTGTTTCTGATAGGGTTTGACAGCACATAGGGCACGAAGGCAGCTGCAGCCATGGGGCATGCGTGCATCCCGACCCTCCTGGGTGCTGTCTGCAGCTCAGAGCTGCTGCTCCCAGCAGGCAAATGTGCGCTGACCCTGTGTGTGGATGTGTGGCAGGAGCACTGGCGTGTGCAGGATTTGATAAACTGCTCTTGCATCTGCAAATAGCTGTAGCTAAGCTCTGGTGGTGGTTCAAATTCGCTCCTGGTTAGTGAAGTGGTGTAATGAGGGTTCAGAGGCGTGGGTGCTGGTTCCAGCCCAGTTTTCATTGAAGAGCTGAGATATGCTGTATTCACACACTGGGGAAAATACTTGGTGTTGCTACAGCCTGAGCTGCAGTGGGTTATTACAGCAGTAGATAACTGCAGGTTTGGTGCAGCTGTGTTCATTTGTGCATAGATCATAGAATCATAGAATGGCCTAGGTTGAAAAGGATCACAATGATCATCTAGTTTCAACCCCCCTCCTATATGCAGGGTCTCCATCCACTGGACCAGGCTGCCCAGAGCCACATCCAGCATGGCCATGAACGCCTCCAGGGATGGAGCATCCACAACCTATTGGACAAATAAATATGGATTTGTGTGGTGGGAGCACGTCTCCCCTAGGTATCCATCATCGGAGAAAATGGTCTCTTTTGCGTGACATTTCTGCATCACTTGGCCTGCAGCAACGCTGCCTGGTTTTCCCACATGGGCTGGATATAGGGCAGGGTCTTTCCTTCAAGGTTATCATTCCAGGAACAAGTGAGCTGTCTTGCATGAAGGCAGCACTGCCCTTCAGACTGTTGATCCCGCAGGCAGGATGCGCGTGTGTGTGTGTCTCTGTCTGACACCTGATGGTTCCTCTTTTTCCCCAGACGTATTCCCTCAGCCCGACCTGACGGATGAAGGTTTAGCCCGCCCGGTGCTGGCTGGCATCGTTGCCACCATCTGCTTCCTGGCTGCTGCCATCCTCTTCAGCACACTCGCCGCCTGCTTTGTCAACAAGCAACGCAAACGCAAACTGAAGCGCAAGAAAGGTGAGCTTGGCCCCGGCGTGCTTCTCTCCTCGTCCTATCTGTCCTCTTGTTGTTTCTGTCCTCTATCCTGACTGTGTCGTGGTGGTAATGTTCTTCCCTGTCTTGTCTCTTCTTCCACCCCTGCGCGTCTTCAGGTGAAGCCCTGACTTCATCCCCCGGCTGTGCCTGAAAGCGCCTGAGTTCAGGAGTGGGACAGGAAGGGTGGGTGACGAGGCGGCACAGAGGCCTGGGATTTCTGAGGGCACAATCTCACGTGGTGACAGCTCTTAGAGCTTGGGGGTTAGGGCTGGGATCTCCCCTTGGCTGAGGGGGACCAATGCCCTCCCCAGGGCCCCCCCAGCAATGGGCTCTGCAGCCGCTTGGCTTTGCTTGGTGGTGTCCAATGGCTGTGCTAGGCTAGAGAAGACCCCAAGAAGGAGACTCCATCATTTTCCTTCCCTAAAGCTGGGCCTGCAGCCACCTTACAGGAGCACCTGGTAGGGAAACCACCATCTTTCCAGGCAGCTGGGGCGCTAGAGAGGGCAGGGGAATCAGCTCCTATGCCTCTAGCGTGTGAAATTGCGGCAGCAGGACTGATAGGAATCTGTGACGGGAGCTGTTTGTTGTCAGCAACCATTAAAGTACAGCAGCAATGAAAACTTGGCCTCTTGTTGAGTGTTTTCTTTGTGGTTGTGATGTTGTCTGTGTGTCTCTCTGTCTTGTTGCGCCTCCTCAGCGTTCTCTCTTCTTTCCCCTTTTATTCTCTTCCAGACCCTCCTCTCTCGATAACCCACTGCAGGAAGAGTTTGGAGTCCCCGTAAGTATCTGTCTTAGATGTGGCACCAGGCTGTGGGTCTTCAGGGTGCCTCTTCCTACAGTTGTTGCAAAGGTCGAATGGAAATATCTGGCCTTGTTTTGTGACGATTTGGTTTCGATGTTCTGTAAACTTGTGGGAACAAAATGGTTCACAAGAGACAAACAGGGTTTGGAGCAGAAAGCAGCAGGGACAAGCACAGCAACCTTTAAGAGATGACCTTGTGGATCTGGACGTGTTGAGCAGGTGGAAAGGAATTACACATCCAGCTTGAAAATGGCTCCTCAAGGGAAGGGCTGCTGCTGTGTTCAGAGTCCTTCATGCAAGCTCAGTGTAGTTTTGAGTTGTTCTGTTGGCTCTGTTTTTCTTGGAAAAATTCAGAATCTCAAATGCATATCTTTTCATTTCCTGTGAAGTCTCTGCTGAAGTCTCTTTGCACATATGCTCAAAGGCTGTGGGTCAGGATGCTGCGCTGGCCACAACTATAGCCACTAATGCTTGCACTTCTGATGTGAGTGCAAGATTCTGAGGTGTGGACACGTCATGCTTAAGCTCCTGGACTGTTGCATAGCGTTCCTGTGTTGGTGGATCTTAATCTTCCTTTTTTCACTTCATCCACCGCACTGAAATGGCCACGCTCACATCATCTCTGTTGGATTTGCTACCTTTTGCCCTTCAATCTTGTTTGAGGCTTTCTGAATAGGGATGCTGTTCTGACGTTTATCTCTTCCTGCCATCTCTTTATCTTTTGAGGCTCTCAGCCTTAAATTTGAGTATTTGAAATGAGGAAGAAATTGATTTGAAACCACCTGTCAGCATCTCTTAGTGAGATGCTGAGATCTGCCGGAGGGAATGTTTGCTTGAGGTTCTTCTGGAGCCCTAAAATGGGGGAGCACTTCTTGGGGGCTTTCCCAGATGTGGGTAGCTTTGGTGAACGTAGGAAACTTTGGAAGGAGTTGGAAAAAGGCTCTGGATCTGTCTTTCCTTCTGATGGGACTGTGGAGCTTGTTATGAGACGTTGGAGCAAACTGCCTGCCCTAAGGGGGATGCAAAGGTGTCCTGAGGAGTGGGGACTGTGTATGGTGGTTCCAGCTCCTCTTTCCCACTTGCTTCTTGCAGCCTGTGTCGGAGCTGGCCGAGCCATCATGGTAGTCCCACAAATTTCTTCCAGCAGTTTCTCTTTTGAGATCTTTGCTTTCTGGATCCAGCAGTTCTTCTGGATGAGAAGAGCTTGTTTCCCCTCAGGTGACGTCCCCCTCTCTCGGTTTTTCTCCCCTGTGGTCCAGGTTGTCTTCTGGCAAGGTGAGTCCGGAGAGCATCCGCACGCTCCGTCCCCCGTCCGAGTCCTCTGACGACCAAGGCCCGCAGGCCAAGCGGATGCTGAGCCCCACCAAGGAGAAAGAGCTCTCCCTCTACAAGAAAACCAAGCGAGCCATCAGCAGCAAGAAGTACAGCGTCTCCAAGGCGGAGGCCGAAGCTGAGGCCACCACCCCCATCGAGCTCATCAGCCGCGGACCGGATGGCCGCTTTGTCATGGACCCGGCGGAGATGGAGCCCTCGTTGAAGACGCGGAGGATCGAGGGCTTCCCCTTCGTGGAGGAGACAGACATGTACCCCGAGTTCCGGCAGTCGGATGAGGAGAACGACGACCCTGTCGTCCCAGCCTCCGTCACAGCCCTCAAGGCCCAGCTCACCCCTCTCTCTTCCAGCCAGGAGTCCTACCTTCAGCCACCAGCATACAGCCCCCGGTTCCACCGGGCGCTGGAGGGTCCCGGCGCCCTGCAGGCCACAGGCCAGGCCCGTCCGCCGGCCCCCCGGGCTTTCCACCACCAGTTTTACGGTTACCTCAGCAGCAGCAGCCCCGGGGAGGTGGACCCGCCGCCCTTCTACATGCCAGAAGTCAGCCCTCTGAGCTCGGTCATGTCCTCCCCGCCGCTGCACCCCGAGGGGCCCTTTGGACACCCCACCATCCCCGAGGAGAACGGGGAGAACGCCTCCAACAGCACGCTGCCCCTGGCCCAGACCCCCACGGGGGGCCGGTCCCCCGAGCCCTGGGGGCTCCCCTTCGGCAGCCTGGAAGCGTCCCCCGCGGCGACGTTCCCCCCTCAGCTCCAGCAGTGCGAGGCGGCGGCCGAGGGCTCCCAGCCCACCGGTTGTCTTCCTCGGGGGCCGCCTCCTTCCTCTCTTCAGGTCGTCCCCGCATCCTACCCGGGCATCCTGCCCCTGGAGGCACCAAAGAGTTGGACTGGCAAGTCACCCAGCAGGGGCCAACCCTCTGTGCCCACCACCACCAAGTGGCAGGACAAACCTATGCAACCCATGGGATGTCAAGGGCAGCTAAGACATACCAGTCAAGGTATGGGCATACCTGTGTTGCCTTACCACGAACCGTCCGAGCCCGTCGGCCACAGCGGCACAAGCACATTCAGCCTGGACACCAGGTGGTACGAGCCCCAGCCCCGACCTCGGCCCAGCCCTCGGCAGGTCAGGAGGGCTGAGCCCAGTTTACATCAGGTGGTGCTACAACCTTCGAGGCTTTCTCCTCTGACCCAAAGCCCCCTCAGCTCCCGCAACAGCTCCCCGGAGCTGACCGCCCGCGCCAGGCCCCGTCCGGGCCTCATCCAGCAGGCTGAGGTGTCAGAGATCACCCTGCAGCCTCCCGCAGCGGTCAGCTTCTCCCGCAAGTCCACGCCGTCCACCGGATCCCCTGCGCCGAGCAGCCGGGGGGAGAGCCCCAGCTACCGACCTGCCACAGCCTTCACCTCGCTGACCACCGGCTTTTCTGGCTCCCAGGGCTCCTCCCTGCCCGCGGACACCATGGATGTTTTTGGAGACATCCCCTCTCCAAGGAGGGCTAGCGAGGAGATTCTCAGACCGGAGCCCACATCGACTACGGTAGCCACCTCGGGGTAAGTGCGTGAGACCCGTGGTCCGCCCCACACCCCCAGGCCCTCTCCCGACTTCCCCCATCCCACCTCGCCCTTCCCTTCCCTCCAACCCCTTCCCCGCCATCATCATCCGAACTGTAGGGTCTCTCTGGGTACGCTGCAGCATCCCTTTTGGAGATGGCGTCCCGCGGGCTTTGCTAGGCTGCGGCTCTGCAGAGGCTCACGCTGCGGGCACAGGGTGCATGGCCGCTGCCCGAGCCGGCTCGGGGTTAGGCAGGCGGCCTTCCCGATGCTGCTTTCCTCTTCCCCGACTGCTGATGTGGGAACTGGAGCTCTGTGGTTGGGGTACCAGGCTGACAAATGCCTGGGCCGCAGGCCTGGCTCCTGGCTCACGTAGGTAAGTGTCCTGGTGTCACCGGCGGTTGTTTCCTCTTCTAGCTTCTGGCTCTTGGCTTTCTTCGAACGTTAGGGCTGCTGCGCCTGTGTCTTCCTTCTGTTCCATCCCGCGGAATCTAGAGAGCTTTAATGCATGACAGAAACAGCTATAAAAACCACCGCCCCATCTGCAAAAGGGATGCTGCAGCCCCAGGACGCGGGCAGGGAGAGATCAAGGACTTAGCCCCACCAGCAGCATGTCAGGAGAGGAAAAAATAACCCAGTGGAATTCAGGAGGCCGCCGGCACGCTCAGATCCTGCCCTAAAGAGGGATGTGGCTGCACTAGACTGTAGCGGCTGGTTTTCCAGGTACCAGGGTTGCTCCAGGCAAAAAGCGTCTCTCTCTCTCTGTATTCCTCCTCTCTTCCTCCGTCTCTTTCACAGCACCCCAGATCCCGTAGCCGTGCTTTTGTTCCATCCTTTCGTCTCGCTTCATTTCGGCTTGTTGTTGTAGGGGGGGCCGAGCCCCTCGGCTTGTGATGGAGCCCTGCGGCGCGGTCGGAGGTGTTCGGAGCAGAGCCGTGGTTTTTGGGGTGGGGGGAGGCAGCCTTTCACCCCGCAGCGCCCTCCGCATTTCACTCCCACTCTCTGGTACCTGGAAGCGTTATGGCCTTAGGAAATCCCTCCAGCGCGGCTGGGGAAAGGGGTGCGTAGGGTGCAGGGAGGGCTGACGGGAGAGGCTGGGGAGGGAGAGGGGGACCTGGAGGACCTGAGATGATTTCTGCGCGGCTCTTGGGAGCGCAGGTCCGTAGCGATGCAGACACGTACGCATAGATCCACGTCTCCACGCAGTCTCAGAGCCAGGGCACCCCGAGGAGCTCCAGGTACAGGACAGTCGCAGGACAAGTCTGTGTTAGAGCACTGTTGTCCGTGCTTTTAAGCAGTGTATCCATTCGCTTTGTTGATTATTATTTTTGTTCTTTTCCTTTCTCTTCTGTTTCTTTCCCCCTTTCTTCTCCAGCCTTGTTTCGTTTGTGTTTCAGTTTGGTTTCTTTCCCTCCTTTTTCCTTTGGAGTTGTTGACGTGCTGATGTGTTGCGGAGCTCGGCTCCTTGCGGGTGTTGATAACTGCTTTGTTTTTGATTAATCTCAGCTATCTGGGCAGTGTTGTCGAGACAAGCTTCTCCTCAGCTCAATAGGTAAGGGTGATCCATGTCCGAAAGGATGGTGTGGGCGCTGCGGAGGGTGGCCGGGAGCGGGGCATGAGAGGGGACATGGAAGGGGCTTCTCCAATACCATCTCTTCCTTTAAAGGGGAATAAGGAATTATAAAACACTAGGAAACACCTCTGGACGCACAGTTTCTGTGGCTTTTGGGTTTCCCCTATCCCTTTGGAGGAGCTCAGAGCCCCGCACCTTGAGCTGGTTGAAATAGGTGCCCCTGGGACAAGCGGGCTGCAAACGGTGCTTGTGGGCAGTGGCTCCAAAAGAAGACTCCGGTTCCATTCCACAAAATGGAGATTTTTGTTTCCATCTGTTTTCTTCTTCCCAAGGCTTCTCAGATGTAGAAAGTGGGAGAGGTCTATGTTTCAGGGTGGGCTCTGTGCTTGGCAGCACCTTCGCTGCGGTTCCAGGCAGGTGGAGTGTTTCATCATTCCCGTGGTGAATGTAGTTACAGTACAAAGCCCTCCCTCTCTGAAAAGCTCCTTGGAGAAATCTGTAAGACTTCTCCTGACCCAGCTGTAATTAAACAGCCCTAAGCAAATCTGGAAAGATTCTCTCAAGAAAATACCTCTCAGGGGCTCCCATGTCGGAGCTGTTTCCTGGATGGCCACAGGCATCCCTGGAATGGCAGCAGGAGCAATCTGGGAGATGGTTTCCGGATCATATAAGCAGAGAATTTCCTCCTTTTTTCTCTTTCGCTAAAATGGATAAAACCAGGTGGGATGATGCTTGTTCTTAGCCCTGAGGAGTCAGCCAGGCTGCCTCTGAAAGAGAGAGGTGGGATTGAAGATAGGACTTTGTAGGGCCTGACCATGCCCAAGCTTTGTTAGGTTCAAAACCTGCAATCACGAATGAGAAGTGTCAAGGGCCTGGCTCATACTCACCCAACAGCCTGAGAAGCCCATTGGAGTGGGAGAGATGCCTAGGGAAATTAAATAGATATTTCCAGGAGAGAGAAACCCCTGTTCATTGCAGGGGAGTTGGACTAGTTGAACTCAAATGGTTCTGTGAGTTCCTCCAGCTCACATGGAGCTTTGTACTGAGGTGGAGAGAGGAAAGGAAGGAGTGTTGGATCTTGGTCATGGGGCTGTGATGGATGCTCCGTGGAGGAGCCATCCTCTTGGCATGGCAAAACCCCTCTGGTTTGAGCTTTGCGGCTTCCAGAGCTCCTGAGTGCTGTTTTATCTCTTTTATCCGTGGTGCTTCCTTAATCCAAGAGATCTGGAGACCTGAATGAGTGTGGATTCAGCAGAGCCAGATCAGTCCAGTCTCATGAACTAGGTTGATGGGGCTCTTGCACAGGTTGCCCTTGGTTCCTGTCTCAGCAGTGAGCCCCATGGGTGGGTGGGTGCCAGGAGCAGGGTGACACTGTCCTGCAGGACACTTGTTGAGAAACAGCAGTGAGTCCTGTTCTGAGGTGCTGCCAGGGGTTGGAATTGCAAGATTGAGTCCAGAGTCATTATCCCAAAAAAGGGGAAGCCACAAGGAGAATAAATCTTGCTCTAATAAGCGAGGAATCCTGTAAAGAGCCCAGCTAAGTAATTTTGTGTTGATTTGGGGTCGTAAAATTGTCAGTGGATGCAGAGCACAGGGATTTTCTACTATAGCAGCTGGATTTCTGTACTGCAGTCATAAAAACCAAGAGGAGGAGAGGGAGAGGCGGTTTGTGAGTTGATGGCAGCTGCACTGGGAGCAGGAGCTGCCACGTGGTGGCTTTTGCTGGGTGAAGGTGAGCAGGGAGAAATGCTGCCATTACTGCAATAGCGGCTTCCCATCTTCTGCTTCAACCCAGTGGGCGGTGATGCATCTCCTACCAGGGAAGAGGGCATTGTCGTCTCCCTGCAGAGGGAAACCCAAAAACCACAGACGTGACACCGAGCTCCTGTGTCCCTTGGCATCGCAGGCAGCCCCCCCTGGCCCCCATTGCCAGTGCTGCCAATGCCAGGAGCTCATGGGCTGGGTGCATCGTAGCATTGAGTGACAAAGGGACATCGGTGCCAGGCGTGCAGGAGCACCCCTCGCTCCCCGCTTGAAAGCAAACAGGTTCCCCTTTAAAGACTGTCCATGTGCTGATCCTCTGCATGTGTTTCATGCCTCCTCCCGCTTGGAGAAGTTGTGAGTCCTCCTGTCTGAGTGCGTTCTTTCCTTTCTTCTTCTTCTTTTTTTTTATTTTCACTTGATTTATTTTTATTTTATTTTATTTTTTTACTTTCCTTATATATTTTCACACTCCTGTTTTTCATTTATCCTCCTTTTTCCCCCCTCTTTTCCTGTGACTGTATCCCCCCCTCCCCTTTCTCTCCACTCCGGTCCCTTTTCCCCCGTCCTCTCTCCTCTCCTGTCAGCATGGTGCAGTCCATGGTGTAGATGAGTTGTGTCATCTGCAGACCTGCAGAAGGGCCCCCCTGCTCCGGTGTGCTCCCTGCTGTCACCAGCCCCCTCTTCCCTCGTTTTGGCAGCAGTGGTCTGGCAACAGCTCTGGGGGAAGGGGCGCAACTGCTGTGTGTCTCCAGCACCTCTTGCACTAAAGGATCTCAATCAGTGCATGGTGGCGTCCTGGGATGGAGGTGGCACTGGGCACTGCCTCAGAGCAAAGAGCATAAGACAATCTGGAGGGGATCCCGCAAGAACTTGAACTTGAGGTTGAGCCTCGTGTAGGCAAATGGAGCTCTTCATCCAAGGATGAGGGGTTGGAGGAGCCTGGCTGGGATGTGGTGGGCACTGGAGATGGCCAAGCAGACGCTGTGAAACGTCCAAGCTATTCCTGGATATCACTGTCTTTACTCAAGGAGAAAAGAAGAGTGGAAGAGTGTGAAAGACCTCCACGATGTCCTTGAAGGTCACAGCTTGTGCTTTTGCGTGGCTTCCCCCTGGTGGGCGAAAAAACACTAGTGATGCTTAAGGGGCCTTCTCCCTTAACATCTTCACTTTGTATGTGGAAAGGCGTTTGAAGAAAACGTAGCTGTGTGGTATCTGTTGGTTTGGACAACTTCACCCATAGCTGCCATTCCCTGTCCTTCCTGGGGTTGAGTACCTCGTCAGTCTTTCCAGAATGTCTCTGTGCACATGCTTCAGACCTCTGCTGGTTCAGAAGGACTGTCCTTCGAAGACTTGAGGAAAAATTCTGTGCTGAATGTTTTATGGAATCGCACAGCAGTAACGGCTGGAAATCCCACGTGTTTCTTGAAGCTTCTTTCCTTGGCTCCATCCTGAAACCTCCAGAAGTTCATCCCCCTCTCTGAACCTCTCGTCTGTTGGCGCTCAGGATCCCTTGTGCATGGATGGCTGCCCAAAGTACAGACTCTGGGGGCAGGAGGAGGCTTTTGGCTGGACTTAAAATGCAAATTAATTCGATTGAGTCGGAGACCTTTGAAGAAATAAAGGGTGGGTAGAGCAGATAAAATTTGGCTGGTGAGTAGCATCGTTTTGTCCTCCACTGTATCTCTTCCTTGCCAGAGGTCAGACTGTATTTATAGTGACACATGGGTTCAGTGCGCTCGCTGTTGATATTTGTGTGTATAAATACAAGCCCAATTAGGGAGGAACTAGCGGAAACGAACTTCAGGCAATTTCCTCATAATCCCTTGGTAAATCTGTCTCATTTTGTCAACATGCCACAGTCACTAGCATCTTCTTAGAAGAAAAAAGAATGGAAATAGCAAGAGGCTTTAACATACGGAGCTCTAATAGTATTAGCAAAGTTGTCTGGGCTACGAGACAGAAAGACATGCTTGTGGCAATGCAGTGACATCCAGGGCTTGGCACACGTGAGCCCCATGGCAGAGGACTGGTATTGGAGTAGCTGAGGTTGCAGTTGGCCAAGTACCTTTCTTGCTTAAGCTGCCTGTACGTCGGGGCTGTGGGAAGAAGGCATTTAAGCACAGCGACTCTTCAAGCTTGTAAATGTCTTCCCTACAAAGGAAGACTTGTTTGGATCCCTCCAGCAGGGCTACCAGCTTGTGTAATGAGATGCTTCCTTTTCAGCTGATGCACTGCTCTGCTGGGAGCTGGAAGAGAGGATCTCCGGGAGCATCCGTGCCTTGATGTCTCTGTTGCAATGGGAAACATGAAAGGGGCTTTTCTATCCCAGCCTTTGGGTTCCCGTTGCGTCTGCTGCGCCCCAGCTGCTTCACCACATTATGCTGCGTTTTCCTTGGTCCTCTCCAATGCTAATAGCAAAAGCGAGAAGCTTTGTAATCACGTGCATCTTCAAAAACAACCCCTTCTGCTCCCCATGGGGGGAACAGCCCTGGGGAGCTCTTAGTGCCTCTCCAGTTGAAGTGTGCACAGCTCCAGCAGCTGCTTGGGATCTCAGATTGATGCGTTGCTCATGAGCTGCACTCCCACACTGGTATTTCATGGCACACATGGAGACTGGCAGAGGGGGAAAGCCTGGTGCGTGCGCTGCTGGAGAGATGAGAAGCTCCAGATGGACCTCAGGTAGCACTGTGCCTGTCCTCCTCTTCCGTGCTGTTCCTGCTAGGCACCTGCAGTGTTTCTGTCATGGTGAATGGCTGACATCTCATCGACAGCCCTAGAATGGGGTGAAAGAGTTTGGCTTCAAAATTTTGGTGACGCAGAGTTGGACTCGGTGATCCTTGTGGGTTCCTTCCAATGCAGGCTGTTCTGTAACTTCATCGAAGCGATGCTCTGACCCATCCGTCCTCCTGCCTTGTGAGGTGCTTGTGGGGTCCTGTCCTTCACAAAGCTCTCAGCACTCCTCGCTCTGGGTTAGACACTTTGCTTATATACTCAGCTCACAGATCTCAAACCTGCTGATATTTTCAGTTTTGGTGAATGGTGCAGTAGGTGGCATCCTTGCCACAGTGCTCATTTGCCATTCGTCGCCTTCCTCATCTGCAGCAGTGTGTTAGTGGAGAAGGCAGGAATGCTTCTCCTCACTTGTGATCCTCAACATTTCCTATGCATGTTTTTTTCTGCATACCTTATGTTTTGAGCCTGTCGTGGTTATTTGCTGTTAGTTGGCCTCTTGGACTGGATAAGTGCAGTGAAATGGGAACAGAAGAAAAGCATCGTGTGTTTGGGTAGAAGTAAACGTGCTGAGAAGATGCATTCACCATCAAGAAGTTCTCATTCCCCTAACTGTGTGTGGGATGTGCCATGTTTTCACTGCTGGAAACTGCACTGAGGAAGAGCTTTGCTCCCATTTTCTGCTGGCAATAGCTCTGAAAGCACAGCCAGCCCTGCCTGACCTCAGGAATGCTGGTGGGGGCTGCGAGAGGGGACAGACACGATGGGCTGGCACTTGAGCCTTGCAAGCATCATAGAAAACTGAAGATCCTGGAGCTGCTGTCTGTGCTGCCTGCTGTGTTGCTGATTTGGTGACATGCTTTGGTCACTGAGTTAGGAGACCAGAAGACCAGAAGAGTGCCATCCCATTATTTGAAGGATGGGACAGGGTAAGCGCAGGCTCGTGTCATTTCTGGGCACCTCCTGTGCAGGCTGCTGTCACGTCTGAGGCTGATCCCAGGTCAGCACCCATGGCCTTAGCTGCCTGAACTTACACTTCTGCTCCCCTGGCGTGAGGTTCATACAGTATGGAGAGATGTGAAAATGAAACAAAGGGAGAAAGAAAGGGGAATGCAGCAAATGGGGGGATGCTGTGATGTGTTACAGGTGAATGCTGAACCAGCTGTTCTCCGAAGGAAAAGGTTTTCTTCTACTGCCCTGCATTATAGCAGTCATTTTTCAATCCTTGGATTGAAAAATCCTTGGTAAAACAGGCACAGTGAAGGGAAGTGGAGCACAGAGCCTTTGCGAAGGGGAGACCGCTTAACCTTGAGCAGATTCCTGTACAAGAGTTACGTGGGGACTAAGTCTGGGAAACTATCTATCTCTTACAACTACTGACACTCCCACTGGAAAAATACCATTACAAATCCCCTCCTTGCCCCCTGCAATGAATTCTCGTTGGCATTTTCATTTCCAAGCCGTGGTGCGTCCTGTCCTGCGAGGCCAGAACGTCCAGCTCCCGACATCCAAGTGTGAAGGAGCAGAAGCTTCTGTGCCTTTATATTTGTTGTCGCTTCTAGCTGGGAGCAAGGTGCTGACCCCAGCTGTGCCCTTCGTGTCCCTGTCTGTTGTGCAGTCCCTGTTTTCTTTGCCATGGGAGCCAGGCAGGATCCCTGCCTCCGTCCTGCTCGTTGCGCCGGTGTCAGCTGCCCCGTGTCGCGCAGGTCTCGGTGCTGTCGTGCCGCTTCTGCGTGTCTCTTCCTCCCTCTCCATCCCCAAGGGGTTTCCCCACCACTTCCCAAAAATACCTTATCGGACATAGGATCTGCCCCGTCCTTTGTGTCTAGCAGTGCCGGTGTGGCAGGCAGGTGAGCCGGGTGCCGGCTGCGCTCTCTTTGTGCTGGGACTTTGCGATGCAGCTGAGCGGGAGGGGACGGGGACACGGACACGTGTGGGTCTCCTGTCTCCTACGGCTGCGTGCCCGGCCTGGGCTTTCTCACCTTTTCCTTCTCCATGGCAGAGCTGGCTGGGGTCGACCGTTCCCCGCCTGGGACGCCCCGCAGCCCAAGCGTGACCCGGAGCCGCTGATGGCACGTGTCTGCTTTTCCTTTCTAGAAAACGTCCATCTCCGTCCTGGGACGCTGCTGCACCTGAGAGGCTCGAAGCTCTGAAATACCAGCGGATAAAGAAGCCCAAAAAGTCATCCAAGGGCTCCTCGAAATCCAGAAAACAATCCAGTGAGTGTGAGGACCCCACGATCCCCCAGCAGCGTCCCCCTGTACCCCCATGGGTTGCTTGGGTTGGTCTCTGAGCGCCTGCCTAGCTCCTGCCTCCCAGATGGATGGCTGCTTGCCCACGTGCTGTCTGCAGTTCTTCCCCTGCTTCCCAACCCCATTCACCTTCCATCCTTTAACATCTGCCCTTTACTCGTCTTTAGTAACTTTACTTACTTTTTTTGTTTTTTTTTTTTAGGATTCTTCTGTGTTTGTTTCTTTTTCCCTGATGTCCAACCTGCTGCTTGCATGCTGGAGCCCCCCCTCCTCCCTCTTGCTCCTCCCTCCCTTCCACTCGAGGCGACTTTCCACATCCTCTCCTACAAAGGCCTACTTTCCTTCCAGCAAATCTTTCCCCCTTCCTTACCCCACATCTGTTGGGGTTTGGAGTGTTGCGGGGAGGAGGAACAGACTTGATATAAGCTCCGTTTTATAGCAGTGCTACAGGTGGGTTCCATATCTCATCCCTCTGCCTTCTCTCCTCTGCAGACGGCTCTGCCTCCCAGGTTCAGCACCTTCCCAGCTCTCAGGTACTGTGGCCTGACGAGGCTGTCTGCCTCCGAAAGAAGAAGAGACACCCTCGTCAGGACCCCTTTGCCCGCCTCTCGGCGCTGAAGGACGACCTCTGCCACCGGCAGCTCCCTGAGGACCAGACAGCCATCCTCAACAGCGTGGACCACGACGACCCCAGCGGGCACGCCACTTTGCTTTAGCCTCATGCTGACCCAAGAGAAGGTTAAAAGGGAGAGGGTAGAGGGAGCTGAAACCTCGACTGCGTGCACGCCGGGGTTGGGCAGCTTTTGGCAAGGATGAGCTGGGGCGACCAGGGTGGGTTGGGGTCTAGAGGGGGGGATGCCAGGGGCTTCTCAGATCTGCATCTCTCCCTTAAAGCTTTGGTGAGATGGGGAGGGGGTGTCACACCTCTGTTTCAGAGAGTTTTCAGATGTAAAAGGCATAGATGGAGATTCTGACATCTGCTTCTGCAGGTTGTGTGTAGGTGGAAGTTGTGAGATTAAGCAGCCGGCCTTGAATTGAAAGAAGGAATTATGTGACACGAGGTGTGATCGATTGACAAGGAACTGACAACCCAGCTAGCTAACAGCTGGTAATCCCATGAATCTGATTATGATAAAGTACATCCAAACGGTCCCAGGAAAGCTGCAACTGTGAAATCTCCTTGCCTCTCCCTGCCCAGCCTCCCATTATGTGAAGATAACAGCAACAACGTCACTGACATCTTTCCTTGCCCATCTCTGAACGGGAAAACTGGAAAGACCCCATGGCTTCACGCCAGCCTGAGAAGTGATAAATCACTATTTCTCTGTGCATATGCATTTTGAACCTTGTTAACATGTACCAAACCCTTTGCAAGCACGCAGGTATGGAGCCGTTTGCATCCACAGGTGGTTTCCCCTCAAAGTCTGGTTTGTGCCAGCTTTGATGAGGGTGGTTTTGACCAGTTCTTCCTGACGCTCCGTGTATCACTCACATATGTTCCTCAGTGCTGTGCAGAAATGTCATTGCTTACTATGGTCACGTTTGTAATCTCTGTTCAGAACTGCAGAACGGGGAGATGCTGCTGTAGGTGTGTGAGCGAGCAGGGTTTCACCACGTGTTCCCAAAAGCCCCTGTGGCCAACGTGACCCTGAGCCAAGGCAGCTGGAAAAGTCCAGCTCTGTGGGTCGTGATGGACGGCTGCTCCAAGCACAAAGCTCAGCCCAGCATTTGGCATCATTTTGAAATGTGTTGCTGCTGGTTTCACTGTCCACCCCTTCTCCCTCCTGTTCCAGCCCGGCTGTGTAGGTGACCTGTGACTCCTGATTTGGGATTTATCCCTCCCTTTGCCCATCCGAGGAGACTCGCTGTTCCCCTCTTGGTAATGCTGTTCTAACTCTTCACCAGAATGTATTTCCTCTTCCTAGGGTAGGTTCATTTGGCAACTGATGTTTCTCTGGGTTATGTAGGCCTTTTCTCAGCAGGAAAGCTGCAGCCTGCTCCAAGAACACCGGGCTTCTCTTTCCTGCTCTGCCTCCACTATCGAACTGCGTGGCCTTGGGCAAGTCACTGAACCTCTCTGTGCCTCAGTTCTCCCATCTGTAAAATGGGGATAAGTCATATTTAAGCACTTTTGTAAAGCACTTGGCTGCCCACAGGCAGCAAGTGCTACATGTGTGCTGAGTGCTATTACTACCAAGTGATCCCTACCTTTGAGACAGAGATTTTTTTATTTTATTTTAAATGGTAAGATCAAACACTGCATCCAGGTTTGCACACTTCTTCCTCTCTAGCAAAGTGCTAAACCTGCCAGCCTGCCTGGGAATAAACACCAATGTCACGTGGATATTCTTCCTTTAAGCTGATTCAGGCTGTTAGAAAAAGAGAATCCAAAAGCCTGCAGGCATTGCCTTTTGCATACAAAACTCCTGCTTATTCCCAGGTAGAATTGCCAAGAGATGCTCTGCAATCTTGCCTTTAATTGTGATTTGCCTTGGTTACTGCTCTTGCTGCTGGTTGAACCTCAAAGGGCTTCGATATTTGGAGAAACACGCGACCTCTCAGCTGCACGGCCGGAGTGAAGGGTCGGGGCATGGCAGTGAGAACAAGCCAAGCTTCCAGGGAGGTTTTAGGTAGAAATCTGTTGATCAGCCTGCCTAGAAATTTCCATTTTTAAATGAAACTGTGCTTTGTCTTCCACCGAGATGTTCAGAAACCTGATGAAAGCAGAGCACGACGTCTTTTTTCAAATCTCAAAGCCCTGACTTAGGCTCGAACCGCTTGAGAGAATCCTCTAATCGATGATGAGATGTTTTCAAGCTTTAACAACTTCCTTTAGGTGGTCTTCAAACGTGAGCAAGTTTGTCTGAGGAAGGAGGGAGGGTCTCTTAGAGGTGCCTCTCTCTTTCATGCCATCAACCACCAGAGTGAGACTTCAACTTCGCTAACAGTATAACAGAGTGTTTCTTTTATTTGAGTGTGTTTTAGGGCTTGACCTAGAATCCACTTGGATCTGAATTGATTTAATGCCATTTGCCTGCTTGGCAGTGGGACAAACTTGTGGGTGACTTCAGCTCGCTGGTGCGAGAGGAGCTGATGTCGGCCCCAGACCTTAGCAGATGTGGAAGCAGGCTTAGCCCCAGGGCTCGCCTCCCTGCTGTCCCCATGGCTGCCCGCTGGCACCGGCCCTGGCCGCCCTCGCTGCACAGACCCTACAGGTGATGGTGACTGGGGATGCTCAGTGGTGTGGTGCCCTGTGGGTGGGGGGTGCGGAGGCTCTGTGCCGGCTGGACCGCAGCTTGCTCGCTCTTCTTTTGGCTCTCGTTGCCTGGGCCTCTCTAGCAGAAGGTTTCCTTGTTCATTTGAACGCTTTCCAAGCTCAAATTTACTCTGCCTGTTTGCACGGGCAAGGCAGCGTCTTTGGGCTGTCAAGGTTGGGGGACCGTGCCCCCATCCTGCTGCAAAGAGGAGGATCTGGAGTGCAGGAAGGTTTGACGGAGTGCGCCAGCTTGCTTGGTCAATCTTTTGAGAGTTTGTTTTCCTTTTTCAGGTGTTTTGAGCCGGTGGGCCCTCTGCTTTTCATTGTCTTCGACCTTTAAAGGCTGGAGCTGCAGCCCTCTCTCTTTCAGCCGTGTACCTGCCACGCTGCTGCAGTGGGAAATCCTGCCGGGGCTCCTCATGGACGCGGCTCTTCCCTAAACCATCCCTACCTCCTTTCCCCGCTAGACCAAGTTACCTTCCAATAGACTCTTGCCACGTGCTGGGCCGTGCTTTGGCAGATGGGCTCGCCTCTTGCTTTGGCAACCTCCTCGCTTCTCCCAGCTCTGGTTTCCATGCCCTTCAGGGGTTTCTCTCCTCTGCTCCCGCGGACCTGGGACATCGAAGCTGTGTCAGATGATGCCAACCATTTTCCCCCATTCCATCCCTGTTTGAACTCCGTTTTTGTTTTGATGGTTTGCAAACACGGCTGCTGCTGCTGCTGCTTTTCCTTTTTCTTTTATGCTGCAAAATATATCTTGATTTTTTTTATCTTTCTGGGCCAAACTCTCTTATTTTGTAAGTTTGTCCTAGGGTAGATGGTTCTTGCTTTATTGGCAAACATAAGATCCGTTCCTCCTTGCACGGTGCAAAAGCAGTGTGTTTCATTACGTCTCATGCAAAGCGCTGGGCTGTGGTGGAAGAAACACCTCTGAATCACAAGCTGTGGTGAGGACACAAGCTGAATGTGTCCCTGCAATTAACCCCAGTTTTTGGGGTCCTGGTGCTGCAGGTGGGCAAGAGTGTTGCAGCTCTGTGCTTCAGTTTCCCATGGGCTCTGCAGCCAGGCTGTGGGGCTGGAGGAGCACTGAGGCTGCTGCAGGTTTGTTTTGAGAGCATCAGCAAGTGAGAAATGGGCAGGATTCAGCTGCCCCGAGCTGGGGAGTGGATAATGCAGGGAGGTATATGTACAAGGGCATTGTGATCTGGTTCTGGTGGGCACCAGGCTGTTGTTCCTGCGTGCATTTCCTTGTCAGCTCATCCATGCATGGAGGCTGGAGATAGCTGTGTTTGTGGTGGAGTTTTGCTGGGCAGCTCTGCGGACTGCAGGGAACGGCTCGCTGATTTGTGCATGGCAGTGGTGCTCAGTGAGGTGAGTTGTGCATGTTAAATGGTCTGCTTGGGGCATGGTTTGGCAGCTGGGAGTCACTGCTGTTGCCAGCTCCGCCTCTGAGCCTGCAGGCAAGTTGCTTCAGCACTCTGCCTTGGTTTCCCCATCGCTATCAAGGGAATAACAGCAATGCTGTACCTACCTCCAGGGATGCTGAGGGCCCAGGGCTTGTGGTCAGCACTCCAGCAAACCTCCCAGCAGGGCTGGGTCATGGCTAATGGCATCAGGGCATGACACATGCCTTAATGCTGCACGTCTCTCACAGTTAGGACAGAATCTGCTTGGCGGTTTGATTTCTCCTCCTCCTTAAGGCAGTGATGCAGAATTCGGTTTCCTTTGAGTTTTGGGTTGGTTTCCCCACGTGCTTTTGGCTGTGGTTCTTGGCTCGGGGTGTTCTTCAGAGGGCTGAGGCTGGAAGGCTCACAGTCTGATGGCAGTGATTCCTCCACGGCCCGCTTGGGCTCGCTGCAGAGCTGGCAGAGCTGCTGCTTTTTGTGGAAGGGAACATTTTCAGGGAGCCAGCACAAAAAGCGATGTATATATGAGATATAAATACATAGAGAAGTGTAGGATGAGGGTAGATATGTATGCAGAAGTCGGGTATATTTGCATGTAAAGGGTACGTTTGTCTGTAGGGGGAGTGTTGGTGGAGGGGGAGGGGATTGGGATGGACAAAACCAGGCAGAGCCTGGGGAGGATTTGGGAATGGATGGGCACAGGGCACCTCTCTGCCTGACCTTCATGCGTCCCCATCCCTGCTACAAAGGACCTGGTTGTCCTTTTTTTGCCTTTTTTTTCAGTCATGCTCCTCCCCCAGATTTTTTTTGTTTGCTGTGTTCTTTGTATGTGACTCATTACTGGACCATGGGAGTGGGAAGGTAGCAGTGAAGGGCCTCTTACCTGCACACAGGGCATGAGGGCGGAAAGGAGCATCACATTGCCTCATCTTCCATGTCACTGCAGTCATTCAAAGGGGAAGCAGCACCGTGCAGAACCCCTTATCTAAAATCCCAGTAGGTGCTGTTCTCTGGTTACTCCTGTTAAAGCATTTTGCTTTGCATCTGTTCTTTCCAGAAGAGCATGAGTCAGAAGAGATGAGAGAAATGTGGCTAAATGGGTTGAGAACTGCTGTGCTGGCTGTGCTCAGGCTGTCCCAGAGGTAATGGCTCCACAGGCCAGGATGTTCTGCTTCCCCCCTGATTGCCACGTTGTCTTTTTTTAAACTCATTGGCAGGACTTTTGGGATAAGGGGATTCATCCACCGAAGGCATTGCTGGAGGTACCTTAGCAATGGCTTGCCTGATGCACTGCAGCATTGCTGCTTCGTGCATCAAACCAAGAGCTCCTTGCAGAGCACAGAGCAAGGCTGGTCCTGCTGTGGGGGTGCAGGCAGCACCCATGGCCCAAAATTGCAGGTGTGCAGTGGCTGAGTTTGGGCTGGATACCCACTGCTCTCCAGGGAGTCCGTCACAGCACTGCTTGGGCATGGGGTCCCTTATAAAGGGACACTGACTCCTGTTCTCATCCTTCAGCTTAGTTTCTGGTTTCTTTTGCTGGGCTTCCCTTTGCCTGTCTTTGCAGAGGAGGACAGGCTGCGCTGAATCTGTAGGGGAAAAACGCATGAGCCAAGTACTGGAGGGCAAAGTGATGGTGTGTGTGATTTGGCAAGTTGTGCGTGCAAGAGAAGAAAGCTGAACGTTATTCCCGTGAGTCTGTGTGTCCCCTGTGTCACTGCCACGTGGCAAGGACTGTGCACAGCTCCTGGTCCCTTGGAGAGGCCAGAGAAGGGACCCTGCTCCCTTCTGCGAGTGCCTGGGATGAGTCAGGGCCACCCGGTGCAGTATTTCCTTGATTTCCCTATTTAAGCGTTTCCATCTGGCAAGCCTGTGCTGTCTGAACTGGCTGTCCCTTGTCATTGCCTGGCACTGGGTCTCACCCAGCAGTGCAGGGTAACCTCAGGACATGTGCCGACGAGCATCCCGAATCCCCAGGGCTCTGGGTGTTTTTTGATACGTGCATGGATGGAAGAAGAACCATAGATGGGGAGGGGGTGGGCAAGAGAGAAGGGGGGGCAGATGGGTTGGTCCAGGCTTAGGGGTTTTGGATATTGCAAGCATGCGTTGTAGTGGTAGGTAAGGATTTTTATACTGGTTTCAATGGGGCACGGAGGGGCTGGCATCCTTTTTTTTTTGCACTGGATGGAGCAGGAGGGCCCATGATGACCTCCTGTGAGGCTGGGGGCTCTGGGGACGGCAAGGCATGGGGAAGGGGCTGCTGGCACACGCATGGACAACAGCCAGCCTCTCATTGCCATGGGGAGGAGGGCAGTTTGCCCAGGATATTTTGCTTTACCATCGAAATGCCAATTTTGCTCCTGGGGAGAGTTTTGTTCCAGTTCTCTCGGGGCTACAGGTGACCCAGAGGGCTGCCCATCATCCTGGGGCAGCTGTGCTCCCAAAGCCCCTCTGATTTCTACTCCCTTCCCCCATCCCACCCAGCACTTAAAAAAGAACGTGACCAGACATGAGCCCCAGTATCTCTATCTAAAGAAACGATATTGGTGTACCGAAACTGCGTTGTATATAAAATTATACAAATATATATTTACTTTCTATTTTAGAACGGGGGGGAGGGGAAGAATAAATATTTAAGATAATTCCTTAGTACTAGGTGTCTGAAACTTCTGTGCAGCATGAGAGAGGCTGTCAGAGGTGGGGAGAGTCTAAACAGCGGGAGCAGAGCGAGTATTTTTACATTATATTGCGCTTAGGCTTCTCTGCTTCTCCATCCACCTATAAATAGACGAAAAAAAATCTATATATACAAATATATATATAAAATATATATATATCTAAGCCACATAGCTGTTTTATTTTTGTAACCATGCCTAGTGCTGTCTGAGCAATACGGTGGTGAGGGGGACGGGGCTGGCTGGGGCTCGTGCCCCGCTTTGGCTCCATCCTGCATCCTTTGCCATCGCTGCTGCTCGCTGCCGCCTTGCTGCTTGAGTAGGAAAAGTGGGATAAATAGGAGCGGGATGTGGGGCTGCACGGGGAGCCCCAGCTGCTGCCAGCTAGATTTGTACCGTGGCAAGGTGATGGTGCCCGTGGTGCTTCCTCCAAGGGGCACGGCTTGTTTCTTTTTGTTTCATTTTGCTTTTCGTGGAGGCAAGTGGAAATTCAGCTCGATGGGTGCTACTTGGAGAGGTTGGGGATGCGGCTGGTGGTTGTGGCAAGGACACGGTGGGGACACGTCCTGCTTGTGGGTGTGCTGCTGCCTCACCTGTACCTGAGGACTCCTCCTTGGCAATCTGCATGCCTTGGGGAGAGGTGCGCAAAGGGGATTTGGTCCTTTGGTGCTCCTGCAGGCTGGGTGGCCTTGGTGGCATCTCCCAGCTCCTCTGTAGGACCTGGCCCTGGCACTTAAATACCTCTCTAGGGAAAGAAGAGATCCGGGACCGGTGCTGTGGGGACTGCTGTTAGGTGGGTTAGGATGGATGGTGCTGCATGGGGAGACCCGCGCCTGCTGCAGGCCTGAGGGGAACGTGGCAGGGCTGCTCTGGGATTTTCCTTCAAAGCAATACGGACCCGCCGCCTCCCCTGATGCTCACCGTGTCCCCCATTTCCCTGGGGCTGCAGAATCCCCATTCACCCACCCGTGAGGTCCTGCATTTGGGTGCTGAGCCGTGCCCGGGATTGATGCCAGCAGCTTTCCTTCTATTTCCCTCCTCAGGGGCCAGGATTTGGGATTGCCCATGGGCAGAACAAGTGGGGTCAGCGGATGCTGCTCCCCTCGGCCGAGCTCACTCCCATGCCCTTGGCTCCATGGCATGCTGTTGGGGCTCAATTCCCCCTGCAGAGAGGGGATCTCCCCCTTCTTGCTTTTGTCCTGCCGTGTCCCCGACCGACTGAGGCATGAATGTAATGTGTTTGGGAGGGTGAGGGTGCCCAGCCGTGGCCCCTCCGCAGCGGCGCCGTCTCCTCTGTAGGTGTCACCTGTATTTTCCATGATATTTCTGTCTTCTTTGTTGGGGTGGGTTGGGGTCCCCCCCCCCGCAGGGGGCGGCGGGGGCCTGTTTCTAATATCGAGCCAAGATTTGTTCAGCACCAATTCTTGATATCGAAGCAAAGCATGTTTGACGGAACTAACTTGCATTTATTAGCGGTAAATACATAAGTGAGTATTTTATATGTTTAAAAAGGGGGGAAAAGAAAAGAAAACAAAAGAGAAGAAAGCAGAGGGGCGAGCAGTCTCTGCAGCTGCTTCCTGCCGGCATCAGGGCTGGCTTGGCTTTGGGGTATCTCCTAGGGGTGGGCTATGGGGTGGGCAGCTCCCTCCTTTCCCCATCTCTCCTTGAATCACTTACAGAAAAAAAAAACAGGAGGAAAAAAAATAAAAATAAAAATAAAAAAAATAAATAAAAAAAAAGAAAGAAAGAAGAGATGTTTACAAAGCACACTTTCCACAGTACTGTTAACCCTCTGGATGCCAAACAGACACACAGAGCCGCTCCTCCCCTGGGGCACCATGGGACCGAGGGGTGGCCGTGGGGACAGCATCATCCTGCGTCCCTCATGGATGTTTTTAATATCTCTGTTGTTTTGTACACACAACCCTGCCACGTCCGTCTGCTGTACAGCACGTGTTCCTGATGGGAGCTTGCTTCTTGGGGGATATATTTGCTTCCTGGGCTCTTCTCAGTGGGAGAACAATGGGCAGAGATGCAGGGAAAATGCCCAGCTCTGCCTGGAGGGGGTTTGGGCTCTGGTGCCACAGGCAGTGTGCCCATTCCCTGCCCTCCTGGCTGCACTTAAGGCCAAACTTCTCCTTTTCTTCCCTACCTGCTGCATGGAGCAGCCCTGCCTCAGCTCCCCGTGGGGCCAGCAGAAGGCAGGCAGGGTGCTCCATCCCCACAGGTGCCATGGGACTTTCTGTACTCTGCTCCCTTTGCCTTTCCCTTGATGAAGCCCTGTTGAAATCGATCCAGAAAAGCCTACATTTCTGTAGCTTCTTTGTGCCATCCTTGGGGCATTGGAGATCACATTCGCCTGCTGGCTCCCTCGGAGCATCCCCTGCTCCCTCAGGCAGCATAGACTTAACTCTGATAGGTTTATAGAGTCTCTGAAACCCTCTTAGACTTCCATAGGTAGGTCTTGATTTCCGCCTAACTCTACAGTGTTCTCTCTTCAGGCAGGATTTCCTTTAGAATCCGACAGATCTCTGGTTGTGTGGGACAACTTTTCCTTTTTTTAAGAGTTCTTGCCTATTGATATCCAGACTGGACCATTCAACCTCGTCTCCATTTCTTGAATGTCGAGTATTACAGTGTATAACACACGTTAGGGTGCTCTTTGGTGCTGTTTCAAATGGCAACCAGTGGAACTGACTTTTTTAAAATCACAATAAAGGAAACTTTAGTACCGCTGGTTCCATAACCTTTATCGTCGTGACTTTTTGGGTTTTTCCTTCCTCTTTTTCTGTTGTACTTTATTTTTTTTTTTGAACTAAGAGTAGCGACCCGCTGCTGAATCTCTGCAGTGTTGGTGCAGTCCAACAGCAGCTGGGATTGATTTGCTTCGTTTTATAATGGCACAGATGCACACAGCATAACTAGCGTTTGGCGTGAGCC